AAGTCAGGAAACAACAAATGTTGGCAAGGATGCAGAGAAAAGGGAATCTTCTTACAGTGTTAGTGGGAATGCAAGCTGGTATAGCTTGCATTCTGGAAAACAGTATAGAAGTTTCTTGGGGTGCCTGGGTGGCTCAATTGTTAAACGTCTGCCTTCAGCTCAGGTCATGGTCCCAGGGTCCTGGGATCAAGCCCCACATCGGGCTCTCTGCTCGGCGGGAAGCCTGCTTCTCCCTCTCCCACTCCCCCTGCTTGTGTTCCCTCTCTCGCTGTCTCTCTCTGTCAAATAAATAAATAAAATCTTAAAAAAAAAAAAAACGGTATGGAAGTTCCTCAAGAAGTTTAAAATAGAGCTACCCTATGATCCAGCAATTGCACTACCAGGTATTTACCCAAAGGACACAAACGTTGTGATCCAAAGGGGCACCTGCATCCCAATGTCTATAGCAGCAATGTCCACAATAGCCAAACTATGGAAAGAGCCCAGATGTCCAACAACAGATAAATGGATAAAGATATGGATATATATATATATATATATATATATATATATATATATATATATATGGATATATTTACATATACACAATGGAATATTACTCAGCCATCAAAAAGGATGAAATCTTACCAGTAACATTGACATGGTTGGAACTGGAGGGTATTACGCTGGGCAAAATAAGTCAATCAGAGAAAGACAATTATATAGTTTCACTCATATGTGGAATTTGAGAAACAAAACAGAGGATCATAGGGGAAAGGAAGGAAAAATAAGATGAAATCAGAGAGGGAGACAAACCGTAAGAGACTCCTAACTATAGGAAACAAACTGAGGGTTGCTGGAGGGGAGGTGGGTAGGGGGATGGGGTAACTGAGTGATGGGCATTGAGGAGGGCACCTGAAGAAATGAGCATTGGGTGTTATAAGCAACTGATGAATCCCTGAACTCTACATCTGAAACTAATGATACACTGTATGTTAACTAACTTAATTTAAATAAAATGAGTTAAAAAAAAAAAAAGAAAGAAAAGCAGTTAAGTCCTTAGCTTAAATTTTCTTTGAGTATCTTAAATATGCTATTTAATTGCATTTTGGCAAAAATCTTTCTGTCAGAATGTCAAATGCCAATCTTATTTTCTTTCCTCATGACTTATTGGGTCTTTTTGCCAAAATACTCTGGATGGTCTTTTTCTTATATTTAGAGTCCAAGAGTTTTACCAGAGTGTGTTTTGGTAGTGACTAGTCTGGGCTGATTTTTCTAGGTAAATGATACAGTCTTTTGATATGTATATTCAAATTTCCACACATTTTAGAATAATTTTCTTGAATTACTTTTAAAATACATTCTTTATTTTGCAATAATTTTAATTTTATGAAAAATTCTCAAAGATAACACAGAGTTCTCATATATCTTTTATCCAGTTTCCATCCTTTGTTACTATTGTACATACCATGGTACATTTGTCAAAAACAAGAACTGACATGGTAGTAGTTTGTGTTTTTCATGGAATCTGTCCATTTCATCTAAATTAGAAAATGTATTGGCATAATTGCTTAGAATATTTCCTTTATCCATTTGATGTCTATAGAATCTGTGGTAATGCTTCTCTTCCATTTCTGATATTATTAGTCTGTGTCTTCTCCAGTTATTTTCTGATTAGTTTGGATAGAGGCTTATCAATTTTATTGATTTTTGCAAATAATCAGCTTGGTTTTTTTTACTTTTTATATTGTGTTTATTTTTTATTTTATTGATTTCTACTCTTTATTATTTTCTTTCTTCTGCTTGCTTTGAGTTTAATTTACTCCTTTTTTTTTCTAGTTAATGTGGAAGCTTAGATAAATGAGACCTTATATCTTTTCAGATATAGGCACTTAATGCTATAAATTTCCCTCCTTGTACTGCACCAGCTGCATTGCATACATTTTGATATTTTCTGTTTATTTTATTTTATTTTTTTAAAGATTTTTATTTATTTATTTGACAGAGAGAGACACAGCGAGAGAGGGAACACAAGCAGGGGGAGTGGGAGAGGGAGAAGCAGGCTTCCCGCCGAGCAGGGAGCCCGATGCGGGGCTCGATCCCAGGACCCTAGGATCATGACCTGAGCCGAAGGCAGACGCTTAACGACTGAGCCACCCAGGAGCCCCTTTTCTGTGTTTATTTTAATTCAGCTCAGAATATTTTATAATTTCTTTTATATTTTTTATTTGACTCATGGGTTATTTAGAACTGAATGGTTTAATTTCCAAATATTTGGAGGTTTTCCAGATACCTTTCTATTATTGATTTTTAGTTTGTTTTTGATAATCTAGATAAGGTTGTTAGTTTTGTTGACATCAGAGAAAAAACTTGGGATGACTTCAATCTTTTAAATTTTTTGTGACTTGTTTTATGGCCTTGCATATATATGATCAATCTTATTGACTATTCTGTTGCCATTGAAACAATATATATTCTGCTGTTGCAAGGTCAGGTGTTTTGCGAGTCAGTTAAGTTGGTTGATAGTTTTGCTCAAGACTTCTTAATGTATACTAATTCTATCAATTACTGAGAAAGGAATGTCAAAAGCTCCTACAATAATATTAGGATTGTCTATTTCTACTTTTAGTTCTATTAGATTTTCCTTCTTTTACTTTAAAGCTTGGTTATGAGACTCATTCACAATTATTATTGTTCTATCATCATGATGAATTTATCTCCTTATCATTATGATTTATCCTCGGTAACTTAGTCTGCTCAGGTTGCTATGGCAAAGTACCACAAAGTAGGTGGCTTAAACAAGAAAAATTAATTTTCTCATGGTTCTGGAGGCTGGAAAATCCAAGATCAAGTTTCTAGCAGGGTTGATGTCTGCTGAGAGGTCTCCCCTTGGGTTGCAGAAGGTTGTCTTCTTACCATGTATTCACATGGCCTTTCCTTGGTGTGTGTGCATATGGAGAGAGGAAGAGTAGTACTCTGGTGTTTCTTTATATAAGGGCACTAATCCTATTGGATCAGGACCCCACACTTACAACCTCATTTAATCATGATTACTTCCTTAGAGTCCCCATTTCCAAATACAGCCACATTCAGGGGTTAGGGCTTTCAACATATAGATTTTGGGAGGATACAAACATTCAATCTGTAACACTTGGCAATATTCTCTGTTTTGAAATCTACTTTGTCTGATAATCATGTAGCTACTCTAGCTTGATTTTTGTTTCATATTTGCATGGTTTATCTCTTCCATCACTTGACCTTTAACCTATGTATGTCTTTACAATTAAAGTGAACTTATTGCTGACAGCAGGCAGTTGGGTCTTGTTTTATACAGTCTAACATTTTTTGCCTTTTAAATCTTAGACAAATGTACATCTAGTCTAATTACTGATATGGGTTTAGCTTAAATCTACCATCTTGTTATTGGTTTTTCTATTTATCCCATCTGTTCTTTGCTCCTCTTTATCTTTTATCCTGTTTTCTTTTGAATTAATTGATTATACTTTACAGGTCAGGTTTTATCTCCACTATTGGCTGATCAGCTATTCCTCTTTTTTTAGGTTTTTGTTTGTTTGGGTTTTTTTTGCAGTTGCTCTAGTAGTTATAATATACATCTTTAACTTATCACTATTTTTTAAATCCTATTAAAATACTTCACATAAAATATAAGATCCTTACAACAGATTTACTACTTCCAACTTCTGTGCCATTATTTTTTTTTTTTAAGATTTTATTTATTTATTTGACAGGGAGAGACACAGTGAGAGAGCGAACACAAGCAAGGGGAGTGGGAGAGGGAGAAGCAGGCTTCCCACGGAGCAAGGAGCCCGATGGAGGGCTCAATCCCAGAACCCTGGGATCATGACTTGAGCTGAAGGCAGACACTTAACGACTGAACCACCCAGGTTCCCCTCTTCTGTGCTATTCTTCTTATATGTATTTTACGTCTACATTTGTTATAAACCCTATAATATTTTTTAAAAATCTAAACAATCTATTGTTTTTAAGAGATTAAAAGTGAGGAAAACTATGTTTTACATTTATTTTCACATTTTATAAAACTGCTTTTCTGGTTAACAACATCATTTCTAGGAGGGAGACTAAATTCTGCATCTTCTACTCTATCTTGGCTAGATATGAATGTCTTAATTTCTAAGTTATTATTGCAAATAGCTCCATTAGTTTTGTACCTATGGGATGCTTCTGATCTAGTCAACAATTCACAACAGAGATTTGAGGACATTTCTAAAGGCTCAATCCTGTTGTACAGGGGTGATCCATCAATCAATGAAACAATTCACAATTATTCATTTGTTCAACTTTTCTCTGTTCATTCATTAGTTAAACACAGATTAATCATTAACGATGTGCCTGACTCCAAGTGAGGCACTGGCAATATAAAGAAAAAAAGCTGCTGTCCCTTCCCCGAAGGATCTCTAGACAGAGTAGGTTTTAAATAGAAAGAGAATGAAATCAGCTTTAAAATGCATTAATCAGTGTCTTCCTCCTCAGTGCCTACTGTCATTTCTCCCATAATTCTTTGTGCCCTGCTTTTTAAAACTTGGTTGTGATACAATGGTAAGTCGTTATTATGATAACAATAAGGGAGGGTTGCTAAATGGATACAGCTTAAGCTTTGCAAGGTGCAAAAATTCTAGAGCTCTGGTACTTAACAATGTAAATAGAGTTAACACTTCTGAACTGTACACTTAAAACTGGTTAAGATGGTAGATTTTATGTGTGTGTGTGTGTGTGGTTTTTTTTTTACCGCAACCTGAAAATTAAAAAATGAGGAAGGCAGCGCCAGGGTGACCTGTTGTCCGGACTGTTTGGCTAAAATTGAGTTTTGCCAGCTCTTTGATCCCGCCAGGGGACCTCAAGAGTCCCAACCTTCCTTTTCCCACCACAGGAATGGCCTCAGGGATCCGCCAGGTGTCGCCGTGGCCGCGGCCGCCCGCGCCCCGCCCACCGCCCAGTTTCGTCCAATCGCGGCCGTGGCCACGCCCCCTGGCCGAACCTCTTTCCGGCATCCGGGCCTGGGTGGGCTGGCTCTCCAGCCTAACAAGCGGCATGGAGGGCCGCGGCGAGCCTCCGTCCCGCGCGAGCTGTTCGTCGTCCCCCCGGGACTCTTCGGCGGTCTCGGTGTCCAAGGAGCTGCTGACAGCCGGGAGCGGCGGCCGCGGAGGTGACGGGCGGGGGGCGGCGGCGTGGGGTGTGCACGTGCGGCAGGGGGCGTGTGGCCGGGACAGCGGCCGGCCGGTGGCTCGCTGTCCAGGTCCCGCGCCCGCGACGGGACGCCCAGCGGTGACCGCGGGACTTCTGCGAGACCGCCGCGGCGGGGGTGGGGCTCGGGGGCCCCGGGATGGTTGCATTCCGCGCGATAGTGGGCGCCCACTCCGCGGAGTGCATTAGCAGGACACCTCCCCTGAGGGCGGGGCCTGGGGAGGGCTTTAGGTGGGCTCTCCGCGTCCCCGCAGCGGGCTGGTGGGGGGAGCAGGTCACTGTTATGGATTAACCCCCCCCCATGCTCACAAAACCACCCGTTAGTGCCTTGCCTCTCTCTTGCAGAGGGACGCTTGGGTCTAGGAAATCCACACAGGATTTCAGACACCATAGTAGGGAGTTAAAAAGCATGGGTTTGAATCCCAACTCCACGACTGATCAGTTGTGGAACTACAGGAGACTTGTTTACATTCTCAAAGCTCCAGTTTTCACGTTTGGAAAATGGAGGTAGTAGTACCTGTTGATTTTTATTTTTATTTCTATTTTTTTTGAGAAGAAGGAGAATGCGCCTAAGTCCTTGGGCATATTCTCGGTGAATCTTAGCTTGAAGACGTTCTGTGAGAACCCAGAGCATCCCGAAGAGTTATAATAATAGCCAAAGCTTATGTAGTGCTTACTGTGACCCAGGATTTAATTAACTCATTTAATCCTCACAAAAACCCTGCGCATAAGGTTCTCTCTATTTTATAGGTGCGGAAACTGAGTCACAGTGTATCATAGATAAGTAACTTACTGGGGATCATCTGGCTGAAAAGTGACAAAACTGGGATTCGAACACAATCAGTCTGATTGGATTCTCTATGCTAATCCATTTGCTAGACCTAAAGTAGTAATCAAAGAATATTGGTTGAGATCTGCTTTGGGGGGGTGAATAGGGTTTTTGTATTTGAGTGAAGAGGTTTTCCAGGCGTTGGGAACAGGGTGATCAAAGCCTTGAGTTTTGAAAGACAAGTCCTGTCCTCTGAGCTCTGATGGGCCGAAGCGTTTGTTGATTTGAGGAGTAGTGAGTGATGGGGCTGCAAAGGTGCATGGGGTTGGGGGGTTCCAGGGGGGACAGACAAAAGTTCTCCAAAGGGCTCATTTGTCCAGGTTGGACATCTTTAATGAAGGTCCACTAACAAGGCAGGTGTGCTTTAAAGATAAACAAACAAGTGTTCCAAGAGGTTAAGTAATTTGACCAGTATAATGCAGCTAGTAACCATTTCTGGCTTCACTTAACCATCATTGTACTCTTTGCTGCTTCCTCTGTCCCTTCGTTGCAGAAACTCATTTGTCACTAATGGATTTCTGATCCAAGGGTGCAGGTTCGTTTGCGCTTACTCCTCAGCATCGGTGACACATACAGATGTATGAGGCAGGCCTAAAGAAGGGGAGGCGGCTGGGCGTAAAGAAGTAAAATGTTGCCATGGAACTTGGGGAGCCTCCTTTTCTAAAAATGTCTTGGGGAATGTGGAATGTTCAAGACTTGAGAGCGGTCCTGGAAAGTTTGCTGACGGGCCCCCATCTCTTTATGCTGTAGTAAATTAAGTGTGTGTGTGCTTTCAGGTATATGGGACAGGTTACTCATCAAGCCCAAGCCGAACTGCAGAAAAAATTCCACTCTTCAAACAGTGAGGATAGAGAGGAGTCCCTGTAAGTATCTTTCTCTCTCTCTCTCCACTCCCCTTTTCTCTCAAGAACCTTCTCTGATGTTAAATTTTGCCCAATTAAGCAGTAGAGATCCGCAGTGAATCCCAGTCCAGCCAGAGCTGTTCATTGTCCCCCCACCCCGGGACTGCTCGGGGGTTTTGGTGTCTTAGGAGCTGCTGACAGTGTTTTCCATCTGTGGACTTCCATCTGAGTCTTTTTTATATCTTCCATTTCTTTCCCCATTGTGATAGCCATTGTGCGGGGCTTCGTATTCTAGGACCTCAGTGCATCCTTCCAGCAGTCCTGTTTTACAATCAAAGGCCATTTCTTGACCTTTACCACCTTTCTCTTTTCTTCTTCTCTACTCTGGACAGTTCAGTCATGTACTGTGTAGCTGTAGCAGTGACTTCACAAGTCTTGAGAACTCGTTTTGTGCACAGTTATGTGCTGGGCCTTTTTTGAGAGCTCAAGAAATGAGACATACCTTGTTTATTGATTCCCCTGTACTTAGCATAGTAGAGTTATCCCTCCTGTTTTTACAGATGAGTAAATTGAGGTTTTGAATGGTTCAATTAAATTTATTATTTAGGACACCCGTGGTTGCAAATGACTAAATTCCAGCTCCAGTTGCCTTAAGCCAAAAAATAAATTACGTTGGCCAATTTTATTGGGAGGGGGGGAACCCAGTGACTTCGGGTACATCTGCATCCAGGTGCTTGGTGTCCTAGGGGTCTACTGCCCCATATCTCTCAGCTCTGCTTTCCTAGGTGTTGGCTAAATCTAGAGCAGGCTCTTCCTTACCTGTGGCAAGTTGGCCAGTTTATCAGCAGCTCACCCGGTCATTTACTCACTCAGAAGGAAGGGATCTCTTTCTCACAGTTCCAGCCAGAGTCCCAGGGTGATCTCTTATTGGCCTGACTGGATCACAGTATCACTGAATAAGCCACTGAACCAAATCATGTTGACCAAGGTTATGGAACATATAGGCATGAGAAGGGCAAGGCACAAGAATGACTAAGAGTGACAGAGCTTAAAAGGAAAGTCAAGGTTATGTTACCAGAAGAAAGGGGAACAGATAATGGGCAGGTAAAAACAACCACTACTTAGTTAACTTGCCCAAGGTAATTCAGGGAGTAAGAGGTGGAACTGGGGTTCTGTTAATAACCTTGTCAGCCTGACCCCAAAGCCTCAGAGCCTGAGGCATCTAACTATTAAGTCATACTTTCTCCTTAATTAGTTACTATTGGTTGAATGCCAGCCATCTAGGGATGTACAATTCTGGGGATATATGAAAACACAAATCGGAGCGCCTGGGTGGCTCAGTCGTTAAGTGTCTGCCTTCAGCTTAGGTCATGATCTCAGGGTCCTGGGATTCAGCCCTGCATCGGGCTCCCTGCTCAGTGGGAAGCCTGCTTCTCCCTCTCCCACTCCCCCTGCTTGTGTTCCCTCTCTCGCTGTGTCTCTCTCTGTCAAATAAATAAATAAAATCTTTAAAAAAACACCACACACAAATAAACAAGGAAATATTCACTAACTTGTGTAGTCCTGCTTTAAAGATTCAGAAGAGGATGGGGGTTTTTTAAAGTGGAAGAAATTTGAAAGATTTTTTTATTATAACTTTTGTTACTATTGTGACTATTGAATTCAAAAGTGTTTTACAGTAAATTCTGGATTTTAAAAGTTGAAGTTTGGCCAAAGACTAACATAAATATTGATAAACTATATTTTCTCTCCTTAGTATTAGACCAAGTACAGACCTTTCTCCCACAGATGGCTCAGGCAAATGAAAAGCTAAGAAAAGAAATGGCAGCCGCACCACCTGGTCGTTTCAATATTGAAGATATTGATGGGGCTCTTGGAAAAGTTATACAAATGGTAATGATGCTTTGTTTTCATTTCATAAATTAAAATTACCAGTACGCCTCATCATCTATAAGGGAGAGGACTTTTCCGTTTTAATTCAAGTGATATTTTCCTTCTTGCAGAGTCAGCTCATGTTTCTAATATTGCATGGGAACTTGTTCATTTTATAATTAGGGATCTTACAGATCAGTAGGCTTCCCTGAGTGGAGTTTAGGAATTTAGAAATAGAGAAGAGGAAGGGCTTTTTCAAGTCAAATATTACATTTGTTATCTTGAAGCATTAATTTACTATGTGTCCCAAGTGGATTGTGTTTTCCTAAAAGAAGGCCTGAAAGAAGTAATCATAACCTGACTCACTGAAAACGTAAAAATAAATGATGCATTTAACAGACCGATAACCTAAGCCACATGGGAGATCTCCAGCCGGCCTCAGATCTTCCTTCTTTCTATACCGGAGTTCCCTTTATAACACTAGGGTCTGGACAGAGCTGACATTGTTGGTAGTAGTATCTCATTCATCGGCAGCTCTGGTCAGCTCTACCTCCAGGGTATGTCCCAGATCCAGCGACTCTGCACGATGTCCCAAGGCTGCCAGCCTTGGTCCACGTCATCGTGGTCTCTCCTGTGGACTCTTGCAGTGATTTCTCCACAGGTTCCCCTGCTTCTGCCTTTTCTTTCCTAGCATCTGTTCTTCACACTAGGTGTGGCCCACGTTCCCCTCACAGTTCTGATGAATTCAGAGTCCTTCGAGGGCCCGTGTGATCCTGCCTCCAGCTCCATCTGACTTACCTGCCACCGCACCCCTTCTTTCCTGCACTCCCATTCAGTCTCCTTCAGGTTTTTCCCCTCTTTGTACGAGGCTCTTCCAAGATTTCTGCATCTTCACTCCTTCCATCTCTCATCGGTTGCACCGCAACAAGAGGCCTTCCCTGATGGCCCTATTAGAAGCTTATCCTCTCCTGCTTTACTTTTCTTCCTTTTCACTGCCCTACGCTATGCTTTATATGTAGTTGTTCATTGTCTTTCTTTCCCAACTAGAACGAGGTCAGCAACTATTTTGTGTATGGGGCCAGCTAGTAAGGACTTCAGGTTTGCGGACCATACCGTCTCTGTGGTGACTGCTCATTTCTGCTGTTTTAGTCTGACAGCAGCTGTAGATGATATGTATGAATAGGCAGGTTTTATCAACTTATTTATGGACATTGAAATTTGAATATCATATAATTCTTATGTTTCATGAAATACTATTTGATTTTTTTTCTTCTACCACTTAAAAATTAAAAAAAAAAAAAAAAACAACATTCTTAGCTCACGAGCTAAACAAAAACAGGTAGCGGACTGGGTTTGGCCTGCAAGCTGTAATTTGCCAATCCCTCTCCAGAAAGGCAAAGATTTTTGTTGCTGTTCTTGTGGAGTCTCTAGGACCTAGCGTGGTGCCTGGCTCATGTTAGTATATGTTGATATTTGTTGGATGCATGTTGTTGAACGTGTTCAGGATATATAGAATCGGGTTGTGGGGAACTTTTTAAACGTGTAGTACCTGTAAATCATCATGGTGGACTATGGCAACTGAAAGAAAAAAAGTACCATATTGTATTAAAAACATTTCTTGTCCTATGTTCTTCAATATTTGTGCTTAATGTTGGTCCTTCCCGAGGTTGTTATTACAACTTTCTAGGGAACTGCCCTGAAATAAATTTCTCACGTGGTGCTTTTGGCAGGATGTGGCCTTGTTTGAGATGAATCAATCCGATTCAAAAGAAGAGGACAGTTCAGAAGAGAGTTTGCAAGACAGCTCAGAGGACAGCTCAGAATCTGAGGGAGAAGAAGACGGCACGTCTTCTGAAGTCACCATAGATAACATTAAGCTTCCTCATTCAGAAGGTGGAAAAGGCAAGATCGAGGTTTTGGACAGTCCTGCCAGTAAAAAAAAGAAATAGTAAAATAAATGATCTCAGCAACAGGTGATACATGCCTGCTAGTTCTGCAGAAAACGAATATGGCTTGCTGGTGGTTTTGCATTTCAGGTATCTGTGGTGCTCCCCCTGCTTATGTTCCCTCTCTCGCTGTGTCTCTCTCTGTCAAATAAATAAATAAAATCTTTAAAAAAAAAAAAAAAGAGAAGAATTACCTATATTCAGCTGTCCTCAGGCATAGCTAGTTTCATTTAAAAAAAAAAAAAAAAAAAAAAAAGTCCTTTCCAGCGTGAGCTGGAAATCTGGCGCTCTCTGGTTTCATCACTGCTGGGGACTCTGCAGCCACTCTGCATATAGAATTTACTGGTTGGAAAATTCATGGTTTTTTTGTTTTTGTTTTTCCTTTTTTTTTCCAGAAGGCAGATGTTTTTGTTTCAGCTATTAAAACTATTCTACACTGTTGCCCACAGTTTGAAACCTATCAAATGTAGGAAATAAGGGACATCACAGAAAAAATAGGGTGTGGTACAAGAAGAGTGTAACCACTGGTTTTCCCTTTCAAAGGTCAAAATGATCCTATGCTCGAGTTGCCTTTTTGCCTCATTCTTGACCTTATCAAATTTGTTTCAGATCTCATCTGCCAAGGGACTGGCTTTGCTCAGGATATAGGCCTGAGAATTTAAAAAATCATCTCCAAGTGGGTTGAGCTGATGGAATTTGTCCCTTAATGTTTTAGGGCTCTCTTTTTAACTCTTTTTTCCCACTCCTCACATTAGCTCAAGACATCTTTACAAATACACTGAAGGTAATTCTCAAGGTTCTTCCTGGTATTTCCCATTGGAAACTGGAACCAGCTCTTCTGGGCTGTGCCTCACTAAATGTACGAAGAAATGAACAGATCTTGAAATGAGACTCCTCAGCTGGAACGGTTATTGTGCTATATTTAGTAGCACCAAACATAACTGTGATGGATTATTGGTGTAAATAATTGAAGATCGCCTCCTCCCAGCTAACGTCTTCTGCTACATTGGGGGAAGAGTTGCATTTGTCTGGCTCACTACTTAGTATGGTGGATGGTACTGACTAGGCACTGGATAATGTTATTAAACGACTTAATGGCTGTATGAGGGTATAACAGGAAATGTCAAGCCATGGTAGGCTGCTCCAGGCAGGGGATATGAAGGTGTAACTTCACAGGAACTACACATCCCAGTGGAAATACGCCGAGTGATCAGTGAGAGGCCAGTCTAGAAATACATACTAGTGTGTAGTATTTTAACAGGCCCTCCTGCCATGGCTATCTCATGTACTACAGCGAGCCTCCCTGTACAGTAAAGGAAGTCAACTAAATTCAGGTCCTCTGGACACTCTTGAGACATACTAGAAAAAAGAAAAACATGAAAATTTAATTTAGGATAAGGATGTCATTTTTAAGTAAGTGTAAAATGGATGAATTATTTAGCGTACAATATCCGAACTGGCTATTTCAAACAAGGTTAGATCTTAGCCTCATACCATGTGCTAAGATAAATTTTCTGTGGATTAAAGATTGAAATATAAAGAAATAAAATTATAAGCATTTCATACTAAAATATGGGTGAACATCTAATAGTGAAATTGGGAAAAAGGGTTTTTTTTTTCTTTTTTCAGGAGGCAGGAGTCAAAAGTTTGTTTTTGTTTTTTTTAAGCAGAACGGCGGAGTCTGAAATCACAAAGGAAAAGAGCAGAAAACTCGTGCATAAATATTAAAAACTAGTGCATAGTTTTATGAAAAGAAATTTTAAAGGTAAGGGACAAATTGGGAAAAATATTTGCAACGTAAGACTGTCAATATATAAAGGGTTCTTACAAATTAGAAAAAAAAACTAGTATCTTAATAACGAATAGGCCATAGCAAAAGAATTCACAGAAAAAAAATATTTAACCTCCTGTATCAAAAAAAAAAAACCCCAAAAAACTGTGGATGAAACCAAGATTGTGTTCTTGACTCAGCAAATTATTAGAAAGCTGTTTTGTTTGTCAGCAGTTGGCCCTTCAGGCTGCTGGAAAGTAAATCACCACTGTGCTTTGGTTAGTCTGACCCGTGCTTTCCCTGCCTGGTGTTGGGGTGTGAGACCTGGCAGCCCCTTGGTCAGTGATTCTATTCCTGCTAAGACCATGCTTGTGGGGGTCCCATCCTTTGTGGCTCTGTGACAGTTATAAATCCGAAAATGTGGTGTAATGGTGTTTGAAGCAAAAATTTCATTCTGAATGAATCTCCTGTCCATTCCCACAATATTTTAATTGTGCATTAAATACGGTACTTATTTAAAAAAAAACAACACCTGCCTTACAAAGTAGCTTGTATTATTGTTCCTGTATCCCCTAGTCTAGGAAAGGCAAGGGGAGGGGCTGAGTCTTATTTTCACTTGTATTTCCCTCAGTGCCTAGCAGAGGGCCTTTCACTTGGTTGAAATGTACAATAAATGGTCATTAAACTACTCTTTTTCTCTTTATGTCAGTAAAGTAATTCATTTTAAACGTCATTGGTTCTCGATCCAATATAAACAAGATGGGGTAATTATGATTGGTAGACTTATCCAAAAAGTTGAACGCTGGGATCTTTGTGGTTGACTCCCCTCCCCGCCCCCCCCCCCGCACCCCCAGTCATGGGAAACCCCTGCCAGTGATTGGAGTGGGAATGAGCACGTGAAACAAACTTTCCCAGCGAGGCATAAGCGAAGTCTCGTTAGTAGACTCTGGGAAAGGAAAGGATTTTTCATTCCTAAAAAGGAGGCACATCAAGAGGTGGTTCCTTTCTTCTTTTAGAAGAAAGGGTTAAATATTTTATGACTTGATAGGATTCCCAGGAGTCCTGTCTAGTGGCCATAAACGGAGCCAACTCTCGAGTCTGCGCCTCGAGGGACAGCAAAGTAAAGCAGGGGGCGCCATGAAGTCACCGCATTAAATAACTGCAGATGGAATCCCTAGACTTTGTGACGCAGTAAGTGTCCTAATTGCTAAAAACAAAAAAACAAAACCACCACCTTATGAGGTGATTCTGCTTATATCCACTTCACAGATGAGCTGCTAAGTACCTTTCCTAAGGCCCCGCAATAGTAAGTGGTGGGGCCCGGTGTCACCGAGCTGGCCGCCCCCGGCCACTGTGGGCCCCCCAGTTGCTCTGCCAGCAGCACGGACCCCAAAGCTGTCTGGACCAGACCTCGGCCTGGCCACCTATCTCCGTTTCCCCACCTGCAAAATGGGGGTAACAGTCTCCCTCGTGGCGTTTTGGCAAGAAATGAACGAGTTGAAACAGCACATGGTTAGAACAGTGCTCAGTAAATGTGAGGTATTACGATGCGATAGGGATAATGCCCCGTGGTGGCAAGAATCTGGGGGGGAACTTAGTCAGATTATAGGTTCTAGGAATTTATCCTAGTTTACAGCTTCGTTCACAGATTTCTGTATAAGATTTATTGCGAAGTTTAAAAGAGTAAAACCAGCTATGTCTGGCATATGTGTAAATGTGCACCAATAGAGAACAAGTTAAAGCCACTGAACGTATGAAGAAGTATGTTTATTGACACAGAAGGATGCTTGTATATTGTTAACTGCAAAAAGCGGGTAACAAAAGTTACGTACAGTATTCTAGTAATTCTGTAAAATATATATTCATAGGGAAAGTTTGGAACAATCTCAAATGTCTGTGGTTATTTCCGCGTGGAGAGTTTATAGCTGAATCTTACCTTCCGATTTTATGTATTTTTACATAATTAGGTATTACTGAATGATTTTAAAAATCCACTTGGGTATCATTTGCAGTGATGATAATCACCCCATCCACCATGTCTCCTTTCTGAGAATCTCCTCCAGCCCAGGTTCCCCTCTACAGCTCTTACTTTCCTGGAGGGCAGGTATGGGGGAACCAGTTTGGCTTCTCAGCCTGTCTCTAGCCACTTGGCACGACAGCTCTTGGAGACAATGACAGATGCGCGGTGTGTTCTGTTCACCACCCGGGCCCTGATTTAGGCATCGGCAGTACAAGCCATCCAGCTTGGTTGAGACCACCAGCTTCTCTACCAAGGGTGCCTCTTCTGCCACTTAACAGCTGTGTGATTTGGGCAGGTTACTTAACCGCTTTCATTCGAAAGCAAATATTGAGCTCCTTGTACGTACTAGGCTTTGCAGATGCAGCATTGAACAAAGAAGCACCTGTCCATGAAGTTTACATTCTGATGGAGAGAGACTGACAATAAATAAATATGCCAGCTTGTGATAAATGCTATGAAAATAATGCAGGATAAGAAGAATAAATAGTGACAGGGCAGATGAGGTATGAATGCGGGGACTTAGAAAATCCGTCTCTACTGAGATGAGATTGGAGGTGAGACATGAAGGAAGTGAGGCAGCCAGCGAGGAGGTGGTACATAGGGAAAGAGGTGCAGGCAGAGGCAAAGGTGTGCTGGCACTGACTTGCACGTGTTCTGATTGCACGCAGCTCTCTAGTTTGCAGTCAGCCCTCGTGAGAGCATTTGTACACAGAAGTTAGCAATTGCTCCAAGAATCATTTCCCCCAGAGAACCATTTGGTAAATATTTACCAGCACGCCACTGGGAAGAGGAACAGTAAGTGCAAAGGCCCTGAGGTAACAGTTTGCTCGTCTGTTTGAGAAGCATCAAGGCAGCCGGGGTGGCTAGGCAGAACAAGAGGGAAATTCATAGGAGATGAAGTCAGAGGTAGCCAGGAAGCAAGATCGATAGGACTTTGTAGACCCCAGTAAGTACACTAGACTTTATTCTAATCGAATTGGGAGCCATTGGAAGGTTTGAGCCAGAGGAGTGACAGCATCTGACATAAACTTTGAACAGATCCACACATGGCAGAATCAGGAAGACAGGCTGGGAGACCTGTGCATAACCGGGATCAGTGATGAGGCTGGCTCGGTAGTCGGGGAGCTAGTAAGAAGAGCCCCCCTTGGGGCGCCTGGGTGGCTCAGTTGGTTAAGCGGCTGCCTTCGGCTCAGGTCATGATCCCAGGGTTCTGGGATCGAGCCCCACGTCAGGCTCCCTGCTCAGTGGAGAGCTTGCTTCTTCCTCTCCCTCTCCCTCTCCCTGCTGTTCTGCCTACTTGTGCTCTCTCTCTCTCTGTCAAATAAATAAAATCTTAAAAAAAAAAAAAAAAGATTTAGAAGAGCCCCTCAACTTACTCATTTTTCTCAGACGTTGTTAAGATTAAACAAGATAGCATTTACAAAGTTCTTACTTTAGAGTGTTCAGCACACAGGAGGCCCTCAATACATGATAGCTGTGGTTACTATTGACTGAAAAAAGGCCAATCCTGGGGGTGGAGAAGGGGTGCTCGTATCTGGCCAGGAAGGCAGATAATTTCAGCACCAAGTGGTAAGCACTGTGTTCCCGACAAGTGAGAGCATAGAGGAGAGACCCTCAAACCGAGCTGGGGGTAGGAAGCCACAAAGTGTGTTTGAGCAAAAGGTGACTGCTTTAGCAAAGGCAAGAGGAAGAGGATGAGAAGGGCCATAGAACCATTTGGAGTGTCCACACCTCCCCATGCAGGTGACAATGAGATCACAGCTTTATTCTTTAGCCAAATAATCTGTGATCTGAAAGAATAGTGATAATCTTTAAAAAAAATTTTTTTTTTATCTTAAGTAATCTCTACGCCCAACATGGGGCTCAAACTCAGGACCCCAATATCAAGAGTTGCATGCTCCACCACCTGAGCCAGCCAGGAACCCAGAATAGTGATAATCTAATTATTCCCGGTGTTAATTAAATCACCTGGTAGGCTGTGGATCATTATGTTCCAATTCAAATTCACTGGTCATGGGGCGCCTGGGTGGCTCAGTCATTGAGCATCTGCCTTCGGCTCAGGTCATGTTCTAAGGGTCCTGGGATCGAGCCCCGCATCGGGCTCCCTGCTCCGAGGGAAGCCTGCTTCTCCCTCTCCCATTCCCCCTGCTTGTGTTCCCTCTCTCGCTGTCTCTCTCTGTGTCAAATAAATAAAGAAAATCTTTAAAAAAAAAAAAATTCACTGGTCATTTTGTGAATTCCATGGAGCCTTGGATTCTGATCAGCAGTCAGATAAGAGACTCAAGCCAGTAGGAACTTTAGAACTTGCTATGGAAGAAGGAGTTGTTAATCTCCAAGCATGGGCTTTAGGAGATCTGTGAACCCCTTAAAGATACTTGCAGAATTAGGTATGTGTATGGGAATTCGGGTAGAAATGGCACAGAGGGGCTCCACAGCTTTTAGCGGATTCTCAGAGAGGAGTGTGGCCCAAAGAAGATGAAAAATACTGCTACGGAGATACGTAGTAGAGGGTAAAATGAGTCCAGAAGAAACAGACATGGTTTTGTTTGCCATTTTATCTATCATTAAAATATTTGGGGGCACCTGGCTGCCTCAGTTGGTTAAGCGTCTACCTTCGGCTCAGGTCATGATCCCAGGGTCCTGGGATCGAGCCCCGCATCGAGCTCAGCAGGGACCCTGCTTCTCCCTCTGCCCCTCCCCCTGCTTGTGCGCTTTCTCTCTCTCTCTCTGTCAAATAAATAAATAAAATCTTTTTTTTTTTTAAAGATTTTACTTATTTATTTGAGACAGAATGAGAGACAGAGAGCATGAGAGGGAGGAGGGTCAGAGGGAGAAGCAGACTCCCTGCCGAGCAGGGAGCCCGATGCGGGACTCGATCCAGGGACTCGATCCAGGGACTCGATCCAGGGACTCCAGGATCATGACCTGAGCCGAAGGCAGTCGCTCAACCAACTGAGCCACCCAGGCGCCCAATAAAATCTTTTTAAATAATATTTGGTAAAATGATATTTTAGTTCACATGAAATCAGTTCAAACGCATTTAAAAGTGGTTCCTTTATCATAAGGCCTTTGTCATTTAATTCAAATATGAACCGTCAATTTGGACTCAGAGAATATTCATTCCAATTTAGAATTTCATCTGTACCCAGCTCCGATGGTAAATGAGCTATTGTATATTAAATGAGCTAATGCTTACAGGCAAAATATGCTCTATTGATCATGCTGGGATTACACCTGGTATTCTTCCTTTTGGATGTTTTCTGCCTCTGATTTGGTTGTTGTTTGTTAATTGGTTCCCTTTCTGATAAGCTGCTGAGTCTGCAAAGTACCCGGTGTTCCCTAAGGGCTTCTCCAGAGTCAGAGATAGGAGTGCTTACTGAAATTTTCCTTTAGAAGAGGAGTAATAGAAGTTCATTGCTCAGACCGTCCTCCAATAACACTGCAATCCAGGAACTCACCTTCTCGTAACATGTGGATGGTAATAATTTACTCAACTATTTTTGGTCTGACAACAGTCAATTTTGTGAGTCCTGCATGGATTGTACGAATTCCCATTTCTTGGGTGCAGACTATGGTCCAAACAGCTTGTCAGGTGCATTATGCATATCATCCCATTGAATCCTTCCCACACCTAATGAGATAGGGACTTTATCCCCATTTTATAGATACCCAGGCTCTGAGATAGTAGGTAACTAACTTGCCCAAGATCACCCAACCAGTGGTCATACAGCAGATCCGGTAGGTAGAAAAGTGGAAACCGAGATGTTCAATGAATAACAAATGAGCTGCGGAAAGAAAAGCAATCCCTTTCCTAGTACCATTGCCATTTTTCATTATATGGCATTTTCCAGTGTCGCTGCCTCAAGCACCGTGTCAGAACAGCGGAGTATAGGAATCAATGACTCCTGAAAAGGATCGTAGGGAAATTAAGTCATCTAGTTAGTTTATCACAATATATTTTTAAAATAGTGATGGGGAAACAAAGTTAATTTTTTCTTGAGTACCATGAACATAGCACAATGCAAGGTACTTATATTATTGCATTGAATCCTCAGAATAAAGCTCCTGAGAAAGGCATTACTATCCCCATTTGACAGATAAGGAAACCGAGGCTGGGAGAAGTTGCTCAACTTGGGGAGAAGTTTCCCCAAGTCACATGGCAAGATGGTATGATAAGAACAAGACCAGCCTCCAAAGGCTATTTACACTCTATATCATACTGTAGAATTAACTTTTTAAAAGCCATTTATTAGAATTTAAGCTATGTGGGGCCAGAGATGATGTCATTAAATTCTGTCTATTCCTCAGAACATTACATAGTACCCCATACCTAGTAAGTACTCAAGCACTGTTTTGGATTGGTTGTCCATCACAGTGGGTTGAAAAGTAGAACATCAAAAGGCACAAAGATGTATCTTATTTCCAAATATGAAAAAAAAGGGAATTTGCTTCACATTCTTTACAAGATATACTGTTCCTTGAGAGCAAAATTATAGAAATTTTGCTCAGCCATAGGGATAGTTCAGAGGTTAAAACCTGCACATATGATACAAAGTTTCCCCCAAATGCACCTTGTGTATTATAACTGCTGATACGGACATTTTTCAAGAGGAACAACAATGGTTAGATTAGTCTTGGTGGGGAGGAAAAGCCACTTGGCGGTTTAGAAACACGTGGGATATACAACATAGTCAAACCCTAACAAAGACAAATCATTTTAAGGTATAAAAGGTGTATCAGAAAATATTCAGGCACAGGTGTAAATGCTTGGACATGTGGTCTTGACCCTCTTTATGGTCCATGTGTGCGTTTTTTGGCTCGTGGCTGGTACCTTTTCCCTCAGCACACCCAGGCTTCTGAAGTGTGTTGAGGGATCAGGAGTGGTGTCATCTGCCGAGGGTTCCCGATGATGGCCCTGCCCTAGTATTCCAGCGTCACCGTCTTGGTTTTGAGGTACTCGTTTAGAGCTTCCTCCCCTAGGGGACAGAAAAACAGTTCATGGACCAGTGAATGCAATGTCACCAGACTCTGGATGCAGATATAGGTGTATAGGTCAGTAATCAACTGGAATGTGGCCGAAGCCAGGGCTTCCCAAATGGTAAAGTTCATGTGAGTCACCCGAAGACCTTGGGAAACTGCAGATTCTGATTAAATCCAGTGAAGGCCCTGAGATTCTGCATTTGTGACCATCCCCCAATGATGTGGATGCTCGTGGTCCACAGACCACACTTCGAGGAGTAAGGGCTTAGACCACCGATCAGGTCTTCTGAGGAACAGTGCTGACTTGGTCAGTCTCCACCAGAAAACTTGCTCCCTTATTTCCCTGCCTGACAACAAGCTCTTCATCACTATCCTTTGCCCATTGAGGCTGAACAGAAGTGACCAACATAATGTCCTTTGGATTATATTAAATGAAGCAGAATTGAGCAGAAGAAAGAAAGTTTGAGATCCTTTGGTGTAATCTTATTTTAAAGATAATGTCGTTTTCCTGACTTACATAGTATAGAGAAGAGTATATCCAGGCTAGAAGATCAGTAGGTTTGCCTTTCTGTTTCTATTCTATTTTAAGCTTGTACAAACCATCGATTTCTATCACAGTGAAAGGGCACAAATACCACAGGGACAACTAATGAATATATGATCCTAGAAGTTGAGCTAAAACAAGGGTTCTTAACCTTAATGGAGAATTGCCCTGGGAAGCTTTTAAAACTCCTGATCCCAGGTCACACCCCAGACCAATTAAATCAACATCTTTGTATTTTTTAAAGCTCCCAGGTGACTCTAATCCAATGTGTGGCTAAGGCTGGGGAACCCCTGGGCTTAGGGAGTTTAAAATTGGGAGAGAAAGAAACCATTCAGGCAAATTCTATTGTTTTACAATAAACACCATTTACCTTCAACTCAATGGAATTTAAAAAGGGAGCTACTTTTATTGCTGCAAATACATTACCAAAACTCACCAGGAAAGAGAAAATGTAAAAATACCCCACATTAACCAAACTTAATATTAGTGGACTAATAAACCGATAAATCACGAATATTTCCATTTTTGAAACAAGCCAGACTGGCTGTGGGGAGTAAGAACATGGGCTTGGCAGCCAGACTGCCTGGCTTGGAATTCTCTTTCCAAGCAGTGACCTGCTGTGTAACTTTGGGCAAGTTACCCACCCTCTCTGAGCCCCAATTTCCCCATTTACAAAACAAGGATAATAATAGCACTTCCCTCCCAGGGCTATTGTGAGGGCTGCTTGTGCTGTTACAGGTAAAGTAGTTAGCAGAAGATCTGGTTCATGGTGTTCAAAGTAAGCTGTTACTTGAAATGTGATAGCGTCACTACCCACAAAGAATTAATTACCTTTTGGATTTTCTGCTATTCTAAATCTGAGTTCCCAGACTTGCAGAAAACCCTGCCAATTGCACTATTGATTCTGAAAGACTGCCAGGCAGCTTACAGACAGGATTTCTTCTTGGAACTAGCTGCGTATTGCCCTCCACCCATTTCCCTTTGTTGGTTTCACTTAGTCCCACGAAAGCTAAACCAAGTGTGTGCTGAATGTCAGGTAAAAAAAAAAAACAAGCATATTTTAGCTAACAGATATCGCCAGTGTTTCTTCTTCCTTTCAACATTAATCTTGTTCTTTGAAAAACACTTTTGCATGCAATTTGGGTACTTTTCTGTATGTACGTTAGCTAAAAATGTTTAACATTAAAACAGAGTTAGTACCCATATAAACCCAGATCCAACTGCTGTTTAGGAAATGTCCTTCGAAACAAGACAGGAGTGCTGCAGGAAACATCAAACAGACTTCCCTGTGACAGGCAAACAAAGGGAACATGGAGGAGAAAAGCAGAGCATACCTAAGTCTTTCCCAAAGCCAGATTGTTTCACTCCCCCGAAAGGGGCTGCCACATCCGTCTTGTTGTACGTGTTAACAAAAACAGTTCCTGCTTCTAGTTTTTCGCTCACATACATGGCTTTACTTATGTCTCTTGTAAAAACCCCCGAGGCCAGACCGTACTCTGTATTATTTGCTCGCTGCAACACTCCATCGATGTCCCTACAAGATGTTTTTAGGAAGACAAAACTTCATTGAATGTAAAGCAAATCATTTGCATTTTATGTTCTAATATTTCCCCCCTGCATGCTAGAAACAGAAAAACACTACTGAAAACTTGCTTAAATGTTCATGAATGAAATATTCCAGGCTTACACCAAAAGAAACTCCCAGGGAGCTATTGTAGCTCCAGTATTATATTTTTCATGTATATCATGCAATACCTTTTAAAATCTGAAGTCATCTTTTCCATTTTCTTCCTGGTTCTCCTTCATGACTTCTCACCTCCTCCCCCCTCCCTTGAGTCCCACTTCTAGATGTATTCTCAGAGCACCCCCCCCACTTTCCTTCCATCTCTCCAGATTTTGCATACAGTTCCAGGCTCATTCATTCAGTACCTCGCTCTAAAGCCTTCCCAGCTCCCACCAGTGTCACGGGGAAGGCAGTAGGGTGTAGCGGTTCAGTGAGAGGGCTCAGCAGCCAGGCTGCCTGGGTGACCTTGGGCAAATAGCTTCATCTCCACATGCCTTTGTTTATTGCAAAACATAGCAGTAATAATAAAAGGACCCTTGGGCGCCTGGGTGGCTTAGTTGGTTAAGCGACTGCCTTCGGCTCAGGTCATGATCCTGAAGTCCCGGGATCGAGTCCCGCATCGGGCTCCCTGCTCAGCAGGGGGTCTGCTTCTCCCTCTGACCCTCCCCCCTCTCATGGGCTCTCTCTCATTCTCTCTCTCAAATAAATAAATAAAATCTTTAAAAAAATAATAATAAAAGGACCTTTCTTGTTGTCGTGAGGATTAAATGAGCTAATAGTGCCTGGAACACAGTACAAAGCTCAATAAAAGTCAGTCATAATCAGGGAGCACATATTCCTCCAAACTCAGTATTTTGGTTTAACTCTTTGTGTATTTGTGTTTCGCCTCCCAACAACACTGGAAGCGCCCAAAGGGGCAGGGATGACCTCTTATTCTTCTTTATACCATGGTGTTAGATCATCCCATGAGAGTGAATTCAATTAATACAATTCAATAAAAGGAAATACAAATTATCCCTTCAATCATGATTTCCCTGCCTTTTGACTCAGTATGTTTGCACTCGCAAGTAAGTGGAGACGTGACCCTGTTCATCTCTCGGTTGGGTCCAGTTCCAATGTGTCTGTCATGGTAAGAGTATCTCATCTTTATGAGTGTCATCCTAATGTTTAAAACTGCATGAATGCTCTACAGCATGGCCAGGGAATGCAAGCCAAGTATTTCATCTGGCGTTCTGGCAAAGAAACAGGATCTGTCCCCAAACGGGAGGAAAAATTAATCGTGCTGAATTTTTTTTTTTTTTTTTTTTTGAGAGACAGCACAGGCTTCAACGTGGTGGCCTCTGAAGGGATTTTCCAGAGTAATCCTGACTATACACAATTTGAAGCTCGCACAAGAAATTTGGAACTGAACCTAGAGTGAATTGAGGCTCTGCTAAAACTCTCACGCTTCTGGATGCACTGCACATGCTAGAGACCCAAATATTTATTGACTAGCCTAAGGTAGAAAGATGGCTTTATGCCATTACTTATTGGGGACTACCGAGATGACACAGCTTCATAGGACACCTTGCCGACTTCTAGGAGAATAACAAGCATAGCAATGGCAACAGCACTGTTAGCAAACATGACTTATTTAATCCTTAGAATGACACAAAAGGATAGATGCTATTAATCACCCAATTTCACAAATAAAAAAACCAAGGCTCGGACCGGCCCAAGCCCATAGAGATAATCAGGTGCAGCGGCAGAATGCTGGGCAGACTCTACCCACTGCCTTTGGCTGCCTTTGGCCCTCTGTGGTTAATTGCCCATCTCCTCGTCTGTCTCCCTTATTAGCTGGTAAATTCCTCAAAGACAGGAACTGTGACTTATCTTGGTTGATATCCCCCAAACCTGGCTTCTAAAATCTGCATGTTTGGGGACCCTGGGTGGCTCAGTCAGTTAAGCTTCTGCTTCTGGCTCAGGTTGTGATCCAGGGTCCTGGGATCGAGCCCTGCATCAGGCTCCCTGTTCGGGGGTGGGGGGGGTCTGCTCCCTCTTCCTCTGCCCCTCCTCCCTGCTTGTGTTCTCTTTCTCTCTCAAATAAATAAATAAAATCTTCTAAAAAATAAAATCTGCATGGTTAACACAAAGACTATCCTATGGGGGGACTTCATGAGGAAAAGAAGGTTAATAGGGCATCCTTGGATCAGTGTGTCAAAAGTTGCTCACTATAGCTTAGTGTCCCCACATATGTCTTACAATATGTCTATCAAAGACCAAGAAGTCCTCTGAACTCTGTGTTCTGGCTTTTTCCACCTTCTCATTGGTTGAAGGAAAATTCAAACCAGAATTCTGAAGAATTTTGCCCAGTATACCATGAGAGTCCATTGTATTAAATATTCTTGTATGAGCTCAGTTACCATACGACACTCTCTGATATGCTAAATACTTTGGAAAGTTGCCTGCACTATAATGAACCATCATGGATAGTTGATTATATGGTGATTGTGGGCATTTTATAAAAAGTTGAGTATTAGGCTTTCGGGGGCATAATCCCCTATAAAGGCAACACTCTTTTCTTGGGAAAATCACATTTCACAGATGCTGCCTTCCCTAGGAATGTAAATGTGAAAACACTTATTTGTTATTCTTAGTTATTTATCTTGTTTGAGAGACATTTCAAGTGTTGGTTATACAAAAACTAAATTTAGTCAGCTATAATTCCATACTGTCAGCCATTGATTTAAGCTAAGAAGCAAAAATATATAACAATCTACATTGGTTAGCCCTCTCTTCTAATTATTGAAGTCAATTATTGTTATATAATTGAGCATTACATGTTCATTGATTTTTATGGTCTGTATAGAGCGCAATGGCAGAAGAAAAAAACACTTATCTAGTCAAAACCTGTTAAATTGTACCTGAAGAACATACCCGTTTTGGAACTTAGAAATGATCATAATAGGACCAAATGATTCCTCTTTGGCAAGATACATGTGGTCTTCCACATCTGTGAAAACAGTTGGTTCCATAAAAAAGCCTGTTTGAAAAACAGAAAAGATCATTAATTATAGGGTAATTAATTTTTAATTAATAGTTCTCTCATTTAATTACATCATAATTTTTTTTCCTTCCCTTCTGGGTCAATAAAACCAAGCAGACTTTCCTTTTCTTATTTGGCATTAGCATTCCTAGGTTCTTGTTTTTTTAGCTATTTATTACAAAAATTTGAAACAGTCAAAGAATAGAAAGTAGTATCATGAATCGAAAAATAAATATCTACTCATATTTTGCTATATTTGATTCATTTTTTCCCTTGCTGAAATAATTGAAAGCAAATTCCAGAGGTTATAACTTTCACCTCCACGTATTTCAGTACAAATCTGTAAAAAATAAGGCATTTTCTTACCTACCACGGTATGTTATCACATCTAACAAAATTAGTCCTAATTCCTTCTTCGTGACTTATATTTCCATTTTTTTCTCAATTGATTTCGTTGGTTCAGGCTTCCAATAAATTCTACACATTGCATTCACTTGTTAGATCTCTTAAGGGTCCTTTCATCTAGAACATTTCACCCCTAATTTTTCATGCTGCTGACTTGTGAAACAGACTGAGTCAATTGTCCTGCAGAGTACATTGCATTTAGATTTGTCTTTGTTTCCTTGGGATGACATTCAATGTGTTCCTCTATCCCCTTTATTTTTCGTAAATGGGAAGTTTGACCTCAAGACACAGTTGGATTCAGGTTAAACATTTTTGGCGAGACTACTGCAGAGATATGCCATGTGTTACACCTTGCATCCCTTGAGGGACACATCATACCCAGCTGTCCCTGCTTTTCTGTTGCTTAGGCTGACCAGTGTGGTTCCACGCGGTGAGAACTCCCCTTCTCTGTCGAAAAACTGTTTTTCTCCTTGAGACCGGCAAGCGATCTTGGCAGAGAAACTTTGGTACCTTGCACATTCTCAGCTCCCCATCAACCTCTCTCCCGATCACTTTAGCCTCCCTTGATGATAACTGCCTAATTCAACCATTTCATTCAATTAGGGGTACAGAGTGGTGATTTTTCTATTCCATCATTTTTTCTACATTAATTAGCAGAAATTTTTCTGTTAAAAAAAGTCTCCTTTATCAGCTACTCAGTTTACCCAGAAATTCAGTTCATACAAGAAACACAGCTACGTGTTAAAGTTTCCCCTTCTAATTATCAGTTTTCAGAGTAAGGTGTTAGAGCACAATCCCCCTAGAGCAGTGAAAAATGGGGTTTTGAAGTTGTTGTTTGTCTTTTTCTCCTTTGGGGTATCATGACATGTAGCCATCCCCGTATTTCAGTGACAGGTACGGCTTTAGACAATAGGAATAAATCCTTCCCAGGCTACCCTAGCTAAGATTAAATCTCACAGCTCCAGGAATCAAGGTCACCAGCACCAGAATGACATAGTTGTCCATTACACCTGTTTACCAGACCACCAAGGGCCTGTCACATCCATTTTGTGATTTGATTTCCACAGCCTTGTAAAGCAGGGTGCACACATCTCATCCCACGTTATACAGGAGGAAACTGAGGCTCAGACAAATTGTCATGTCCAAGGTACCCCAGCGTATAAGTGGCCAATCAGTATCCAGAAAAGAATTCCTGTGATCATAACATAAATGCTACTCTTTACTTTTGAGGCAAGATGGAGCTGCAGTGAAAACCGTTACCATCCATTCCACCTTCAGAAGCCAGTGTCGGGCTGTGGAGGTGATCTTACCTGGCCTGTGCACTTGTCTTCCCCCATACACCAAGGTGGCCCCCTCTTTAACTCCAGCTTCACAGTATTGCAGAAGCTTTTCCAGATGGGCCTGATGATTTTGGGGCCCATGATCGGTAGATCTGTCAAGTGGATCACCAATTTTCATCTTTTTAATTTCTTCCACCTGTTTGTCACCCGGTTCACAAAACACAATTGACTGTTAATAACAGTAACAGATACCCTCGGCTAGCTTCTACTGTGTGGTGGGTGTCTTACTAAGCTGTCAAGAGATGTGTTGTCTTTTAATCTTCACAGAAGCACTGGAGGTGGGTATTTATTATTTCCATCTTACAGATGGAGAAACTGAGGCTTCGACAGGTTTAGTGACAACCACTAAAGACAGTAGAGTCTTCCTGACTTGAAAGCCCCCTGTTAACCACTGAGTTCTAACAGACCGTAAGCTACAATGTTACATTCAAATTATCCTGAGTGTTAATCCATTAATACAGCAAACCTGATGTTCTGCAATTTTTGTTAATACAGCACCCTTGTGCTCTTCAGGGCAGAAGAAATTCTAAAATGGCCCCATGGTTATTTTTTTCTCTCCCCAGATGTAACAGCCTGCCCTTGTGAAATGTTCATGGCATAGCCGTACCAGAGGAATTGCTAGAATGTTCTGATGAAAAGCCATCTTTATTGTGCAATGTTCATCATTGACATCTCTCTGTGATGGTCCCTGTGCACCTCACTTACCTTAATCTACTTGTGCATTTTCTAATGCTAAGTCCAATTCTAATAAGAAGAAAGAATGAGAGTTACCATGACCCAGCAGGCCCATGAATTTGAATTTGGGCCAGGCAAGAATCCCTCAGTAAGTGCTCAAGAAATAGCTGCTGAATGAGTGAATGAATAGCAATTGCATCTGTGCAAGACATGTTTACTGATGGACTGATAAGGTCGACTCTTGACATTTCTGATCTCAGCATTTGAAATGTCCACACATTGAAGTTGTGAAAGCCTGTAACTTGTATTTTACTGAAGCACAAAATTGAATTAGAGGGATGTTTAGGAGGTAGCCACCGCCCACCATCTGCCCCTCCATATGTCTCCCGTGTTTTCCATTCTCACAAAGAAAGAATGCCTTTGCTTCTTGGGAATGGGGAGTGGGGGACTGACTGAAAAAAAGAAGCTGGGTGCTGGTTTTTCAAATATAAACAAATCCGTGATTAGTGTTACCATAATAATGCCATAGTTTATTATAGTTTATTTTAGCCACAGAATTCATCTTAATAGTTCTTTTTTTAAAAATTTTTTTAAGATTTTATTTATTTATTTGACAGAGAGAGACACAGCGAGAGAGGGAACACAAGCAGGGGGAGTGGGAGAGGGAGAAGCAGGCTTCCCACTGAGCAGGGAGCCCTGTGCGGGGCTCCATCCCAGGACCCTGGGATCATGACCTGAGCCGGAGGCAGACGCTTAACGACTGAGCCACCCAGGCGCCCCATTAATAGTTCTATAAATGCTTTTTGGTCTCATGTTTATAGAATCATGACCAATCTATAGGGGGTGAGTATGCATGTGTGTGTATGCATATCTATCTATCTATCTATCTATCTATCTATCTATCTATCTATCTATCTATCTATTATCTATCTATCAATCATCTATATATCTATCTATGTTAGTGGAGGAAATGATATTCTGTCCTCCTAACTGTATATTGAGGATTTGCAAGGATCTAGTTGTCTATCTCTTAGTCAAGTCAGGAATTTACAAAAATCTAGGAGTCCATCTCCCACAAGTGTCAAGGATATAATTTGCTATAAATGCAGAGCAAGGTATAGGTAATAAAAGCTCTTAAGGTTGTTGTTTTTTTTATAGAGACCTATATATTTTTACTATGAAAAATTATGAATACCTATAAAAGTAGATGATATAATGAAATGCCATATACTCATCACCCAGCTTCAACAATTACCAACTCATGGCAAATTTATTCCCCTGCTTACTTCCTCCCCTCCTGGGTTATTTATTTTTTATTATTTTTCTTTAAGATTTTATTTATTTATTTGACAGAGAGAGACACAGCAAGAGAGGGCACACAAGCAGGGGGAGTGGGAGAGGGAGGAGCAGGCTTCCCGCGGAGCAGGGAGCCCAATGCGGGATTTGATCCCAGGACCCTGGGATCATGACCTGAGCCGAAGGCAGACGCTTAACGACTGAGCCACCCAGGTGCCCCTCCTCCTGGGTTATTTTGAAGCAAAGCCTAGACATTTTATAATGTCCTCTGTAAATATGTCAGAAAGTAGCTCTAAAAGATAAGGACTATGTTGTTTAAAATATAAATACATACAAATATATAAATATTTATAAATATATATATATCATAGTACTAATATGACACCTAAAAATTCATCAATAATGTCAGAAGTCCTTTTCAGGTAAAAGCAGTTTCTATACAACTCCTAGACCAAATATGAAGATGTCTTACCACTCTTGTCACAAACTCATCGTGGATGGATTCTTCTACAAACAACCGTCCAGCTGCAATGCAATTCTCTCCTTTGTTGAAAAATACTGCCCCCATGCCCTTCAGCGGCAGAAGAGAAAATATTAACAGTACTTTGGATTGTCATAACATCACACACACCGAGAATTAGATGTTATTGGAAGACAGCAGACAAACAGGGAAATCATAGAAAAACGCAATGCCTTGGCCTATAGCTAGTGAGGAGAATTGCTTAGAGATACTTAGAATTTTTATCTAGCGTGTTTTTAGGGATTTTGTTTCTCTTTTATGCTTTTTGGTCCAGGAGCACTTTTAAAAAAATGTGGGTAACCATAAGGACACACCACTGAGGACAAATTTTATGTTGTAAGAAAATCTGCATTGTTCTATACATTTTGTATTACATACAAAATGTAATACTGGTATACCAAATTTTGCTTTTAAAATCTTGACATCAGTTTGTGTAAATCATGAACGTTTAGAAAGATTCTCCTGTCCCTCAAGTTTTAAAAACACCTTAATGATCCAAATTATAAAGATATTATTTTTAAAATTAAGTGCTTTGGGCATTCCCAAAATCTAAGCATCGAGAGAACAGTTTCTGTTTATGACCAGACAAAACCAAATCTCATGTTGAGATTTCTGATAAAAAGGGAGATGAGATGCGTTTTAGAAGCAGGCACCTATTTGGTGGGGTTTGACCCCCTCTTACCATTCTCACGGCCTTGTCAAGCTCACAGTCATTGAATATTATAAGTGGGGATTTGCCACCAAGTTCAAGGGAAACTTTCTTCAAGTTGCTCACAGCACAGCTAGAAGAAAATAAATGGGAAATGAGCATCCTCTTTCTCACCTTTTTACCTATAAGTTACCACTGAGCATGGAAAACATAATTGAACCTCAGAAATATTAAGAAAGGTATTCAAAGACCAAAACAGGAGTGGTAGAATGGTGGTAGTTGCTGAAGGCTGGTGATGAACACATGGGAGTTCATGACACTATTCTGTGTGCTCTGTATATATTAGAAATTTTCCATAATAAAAAGGTGTTTGTTTGTTTGTTTTAAATTCTGTGGGCAAATAATTAGAGATCCTCATGGGTAAATTTGAATTCTTGAGGTATAAGAATTTTGGTTACATAAAAGCCTCGTGAGGAATTTAACCTCTAACCAGATTCCTGGAGCATTGGGGAAACAAAATATCAATTTTTAGAAGCAGATTATTTATTTCTCCCTTACTCACAAAAGTACTGATATTGAAAACATTAAAAAAAAAAAACAAAATTCATGGGGCGCCTGGGTGGCTCAGTTGGTTGGGCGACTGCCTTCGGCTCAGGTCATGATCCTGGAGTCCCGGGATCGAGTCCCGCATCGGGCTCCCTGTTCAGCAGGGAGTCTGCTTCTCCCTCTCACCCTCCCCCCTCTCATGCTCTCTCTATCTCATTCTCTCTCTCAAATAAAAAAATAAAATCTTTAAAACAAACAAACAAACAAAAAAACCCAAAAAACAAAATTCATAAAGAAGAAAAAGAAATCACAAAATTCTATTCCATGTCTTGATGCCCATTGTTTTTACCATTTTGACATGATTATTTCTGGTCCGTGTCCAACCATGGCCTTTGCTTTATTTAACATGGTTGGGATCACCCAATATATACAACTTTATACCCTACTTTTCTATTTACCTTTTAACAACATTTTTCAGTGTTACTAAAAATTCTCTGTGCACATGATTTCATTGCACTCCACACACTGGCATACTTTAACCACCGCCTTATTTTGGACATTTAGATTGTCAGCAATTTTTTTTTTTTTAATGTTTTCTTTGCTTCTTATTCACTTTTATTTTATTTTATTTTATTTTATTTTTTTAAATACATAGATTTTTATTTTTATTTATTTTTTTATTCTTATGTTAATCCCCATACATTATATCATTAGTTTTAGATGTAGTGTTCCATGATTCATTGTTTGTGCATAACACCCAGTGCTCCATGCAGAATGTGCCCTCCTCAATACCCATCACCAGGCTAACCCATCCTCCCACCCCCCTCGCCTCTAGAACCCTCAGTTTGTTTTTCAGAGTCCATCGTCTGTCATGGTTCGTCTACCCCTCCGATTTCCCCTGCTTCATTCTTCCCCTCCTGCTACCTTCTTCTTCTTCTTTTTTTTTTTCTTAACATATATTGCATTATTTGTTTCAGAGGTACAGATCTGAGATTCAACAGTCTTGCACAATTCACAGAGCTTACCAGAGCACATACCCTCCCCAGTGTCTATCACCCAGTCACCCCATCCCTCCCACCCCACCCCCCACTCCAGCAATCCTCAGTTTGTTTCCTGCGATTAAGAATTCCTCATATCAGTGAGATCATATGATACATGTCTTTCTCTGTTTGACTTACTTCGCTCAACATAATACCCTCCAGTTCCATCCACGTTGTTGCAAATGGCAAGATCTCGTTCCTTTTGATGGCTGCATAATATTCCATTGTATATATATACCACATCTTCTCTATCCATTCATCTGTCGATGGACATCTTGGCTTTTTCCACAGTTTGGCTATTGTGGACATTGCTGCTATAAACATCAGGGTGCACGTACCCTTTTGGATCCCTACTTTTGTATCTTTGGGGTAAATACCCAGTAGTGCAATTGCTGGATCATATGGTAGCTCTATTTAGATTGTCAGCAATTTTTAAAAAAATGAATGTTACTGCTTTTTAGGAATTCATTTTATAAACAATTCATATTTGTCATTTATGTCTTGGTTTCTTACTTATGCTCCAAAACCAATATGGGCCACGGTTTTATTTTATTTTATTTTATTTTGTTTACTTTTTTTAAAGATTTTATTTATTTATTTGAGACAGAGAGAATGAGAGACAGAGAGCATGAGAGGGAGGAGGGTCAGAGGGAGAAGCAGACTCCCAGCCGAGCAGGGAGCCCGATGCGGGACTCGATCCTGGGACTCCAGGATCATGACCTGAGCCGAAGGCAGTCGCTTAACCAACTGAGCCACCCAGGCGCCCCTGGGCCACGGTTTTAGTACAGAAAATTTTTTTGTGCTGGATTGTCACAGCTACTAATGGGGTAGAATTCCAATACGGCTCTGGTTTTTACTGATTATGGGCTTTATGCTTTGGAAATATTTTATTATATGAAAATAGTTCAACACCCAGCAGTGATAAGTAGATTTCTCTTCTAAATAGGATGTGGGTTTTCTCCCTCCAAACACACTGTGTATCAGAAAGCACAAAGCAAAACCAAAACCTGGTTTACTAGGATCTGCAGCATACCAACTCACTAAAACCAATACCTCTTCATGATCTGTTTGCCAACAGCAGTGGACCCAGTGAAACCAAGTTTGCGGATATCAGGATGTTCAGAAAGGCGTTGCCCTGCTAGGCCACCTGCAGAATTAGGGAATAAAACATGAATTAAAACATTACTCAAGCCCTTATGGTACAAGTGGCTTTGAATTCGTTTAAGTGGATTTCTAAACTCTCTGAAGTTTTTTATTTTCTGTATTAATTACAACTTGACAAAAGTCTAGATAATGTCCTGCATGCAATTGTCAGCCTCCCAAAAGATGGGTAAGCTTTGGTTTTTCATCTTCCAAAGTAATTTTAAAAAGCTGAAACAGGCCACCTGGTGGTAGTTTTACAATGTTGTACAATTTCTGCTCCTCTCACCCTACTCACCCACCATTATATTTCTACTTTAAGATTTTTAGCACATGGCAAATACATTTATTCTTTTTTTTTTTTTAAAGATTTTATTTATTTATTTGACAGAGAGAGAAATAGCGAGAGCAGGAACACAAGCAGGGGGAATGGGAGAGGGAGAAGCAGGACCCCGCCGAGCAGGGAGCCCGATGTGGGGCTCGATCCCAGGACCCTGGGATCATGACCTGAGCTGAAGGCAGACGCTTAACGACTGAGCCACCCAGGCGCCCAAATACATTTATTCTTAAGTTAACTGTTTGGTGAACTGTATTTAGCTTTAATATACTGTTGTTATAAGTCAGGGCAAGATTTCAGTGGGAAAATAGCCACTCAGCTATTCCTGTACCATTCATTATTTACAATCAATGGATGGCTTACCTGAGCCTGGAATGATGTTGATGACCCCCTTCGGAAAGCCTGCTTTCATAGAGAGCTCAGCAAACTTCAAAGCAGTCAAGGGTGTGACCTGAGGAAAAGCAGACCACAATTACCTTCTTCAGACCCTGTCTTGTCCTTTAGATCAGTACCCTGCTTTTCCTTTCTGGTCGTACTACAGTTTGTTTTAGTTTTTCTTTTATTTGGACATAATTTTAGACTTACAGCAAAGTTGCAAAAATAGTACAAAGAATTCTTGTATATCCATCACCCAGATTTCTCAGATGTTAACATTTTACTATATTTGCTTTATCCTCTTTTTCTCTTTATTTTTTCTGTACCCTGTAAGAGTAAGATATAGACATGCCCCTTTACTTGTAAATAATTTTGGATGCATTTCCTAAAAACAAACAATTCTTTTTAAAATTCTTTTTTTTTTTAACTTTTTTTTTTTTTTTTTTTTTTTAAGATTTTATTTATTTGCGAGTGAGAGAATGAGAGACAGAGAGCATGAGAGGGAGGAAGGTCAGAGGGAGAGGCAGACTCCCTGCTGAGCAGGGAGCCCGATGCGGGACTCGATCCCGGGACTCCAGGATCATGACCTGAGCCGAAGGCAGTCGCTTAACCAACTGAGCCACCCAGGCGCCCAAAACAAACAATTCTTGTACATAACCACATACAATGATCAAAATCAGGAAATTAACAACTTATTAGAAAACCTAATTTATAGACCTTATTCCGTTTTCACCAATTGTCCCAATAATGTGCATAATAGAAAAAGGAAATCCAAGATCATACATTGCATTGCCATGTCTGTAATCTCCTTCAATCTGGGAGAGTTTCTGAGTTTTCTTTTATGTTTCATTGATTACACTAACATTTTTGATGAGTGCAGACTAGTAATTTTGGACAATGTCCCTTCGTCTGGATTTGTCTGTTGTTTCCTCATGACTTAACTCAGGTTGTGCACTTGTTCACATGCAAGAACTTTGGCAAGAACACCACAGGAGTGATGCTGAGTCCTCAGGGCACCCTCTCAAGAAGACACATACTATCAAGTAGCCCCAATATTGCAAATATTAACTTTGATCATTTGGTAAAGGGGGGTTGCCAGGTTTCATCATAGTGAGTTACTCTTTTATACTTTGTAATTAATAAATATTTTGTAGGAAGATACTTCATGACTATTTAAATATCCAGTTACTACTCCAACTTCCAACCACTAGTTTTAGAACACATTGATGATTCTTCCTAAATCAATTGTTATGAGGATGGTTGCCAGATGGTGATTTTCTATCATTCCTTCCACACATCTTAGTTGGCTTTTTTCCCTTCTCTTCAATTAATTAATTAATTAACCCATGTGAACTCATGGGTTCTTACTTTATTCAATAGATTATAATGTTTTACTATTGTTATTTCTTTTGATGTTCCAATTGTTCCAGATTTGGCTGATGGAAGCCCCTTTAGGATAGCTGTTGTGTCTTTCTAACATGTCCCTATCATTCTTTGAGCATGTACATGCATTTTGCCCCAATAAGATGTTCCAGGCACATCTTGTATTCTTCCTGTTCCAGCCCTTTCTTCAAGGAACCTAGATTTCTTTCAGTGAAGAATGATATTTAAATATTATGATATAATGGGAAATATATATTTGGTCTTTGGTTCCTGGCACATGGTTTCTAAGACGCTTGCAATCTCTCGTGTGAAAAGTGTCCTTTGTATACTTATGATGTGACTGGTAGCTGGGGGCTCCAAGGAAGTTTCAGGATGGACTCTCGTCACCAGAAAGACCAAGCCATGATGAGAGGGTTGGAACTTTCAGCCTGACCCTGGGGAATTGAGAGAGGCTGGAGTTTGAGTTCAATCACCAAGAGCAATGATTTAATCAATCTTGCCTGTGTAATTAAACTTCTTTAAGTACGCCTAGCCCATGGGGTTCAGAGAGCTTCTGGTTTGGCAAACGCATTCATGTGATGGGAGGGTGGTGCACCTGAACTCCAAGGGACAGGGCTCCTGTGCTCATGATCTTTCCAGACCTCATCCTATGTACCTTTTCATCTGACTGTTGATTTGTATCCTTTATAATAGAGTCATAGTAAATAAAGTACTTTCCTGAGTTCTCTGAGCCATTCTAGCAAATCCCACCTGATTTACAGCCATTGGTCAGAAGTACAGGAGGCCCAGGGCTCACAATTAGCATCGGAAGTGGAGGCAGTCTTGTGAGACTGATGAACCCCTTCACCTGTAGGGTCTGTACTAAAGCTCCAGCTAGTTAGTGTCACAATTGACTTGAATTGTAGGACACCTAGTTGGTGTCCAAAGAGAGAATAGGTTGATATGGGGGAGGGAACCCCACACATTTGGTGTCAAAAGAGTTGTGAGTAACAAAATTTCAGAGTTTTAGAAACCAAGATCTGGACACTATTGAAATGTTGCTTCTGCTCTCAGGAGACAGGGCTGGGGAATAATTGTACATGTGCTTATACACACGTACATCTATGTCTATCTGTCTGTCTGTCTGTCTTCCTACCTGTCATCTATTCCCACATATATGTATACCCATTTCTTTATCCAGCCATCTAAATATATTAAAACCCATGAGTTTTTGAATACCTCCATCCAGTATCTCAGAGTTCATTCAATACTCTTTTCCCATTTTCATGTTTGTAACTATCTTCTCCAATAGTGAGAAACATGGCTTCCAATATCCACAGAACATTCACTGATTTGCTCAATTCAAAAATGTATAGAAAACAATTTGAGAATTATTAAGCTAAAGCCTATTAACTAGAGTCCAGTACTTATTTGCAGCACTTTTGCCTTAGTCTGAGAGCATATAATCCAAATGTCTGTCAAAACTTACTTGGATTAATGTTTCCTCACTTCCTTCAATGGGATCATGTTATTCATTTGAAATACAGCTTAATTTGTTTTTATTTGTATTTGGTTTTAGGGTTTTTGCCCATCTGGGTTGATTACATTTTTGTTTGTTTGTTTGTCTATTGTCATTGTTGAGTATGGGAAACATGCTTCCAAGAGTGAGGAATATACAAAAAGTACATTCAGAGAAGTGTTGTTCTCTGCCCTCTTTCCCTCTATCCCTTCCATCCCGTCTCCCTATGGCCTATAGATAATCAACCTCATTAGTCTACAGTGTATCCTTCCCGTTTCTTTTGCTCAAATGAACAGATACACATCTTCTTATTTTCCCACACTTCTTACACAAAGATGGCATAATACGATCTCATTTTAAACATCTATTACAGCAATGCATAACTCAGAAGCAAAATGAAAGCTATATTTTCACAGCGTTAAAAACCAATGCTGATTAAGTCTTAAATTAGCACTTTTTTAGTGTGGTCTCAATAAATGGAATGTGCAAGAAGCTCCACAGAGGTGTGAAAAGAGAATAGTAGAACTTCTATGAGCATATTTTTTTTTAAAGATTTTATTTATTTATTTGAGAGAGAGAATGAGAGACAGCACAAGAGGGAAGAGGGTCAGAGGGAGAAGCAGACCCCCCACTGAGCAGGGAGCCCGATGCGGGACTCGATCCCGGGACTGCAGGATCATGACCTGAGCCGAAGGCAGTCGCTTAACCAACTGAGCCACCCAGGCGCACCCTATGAGCATATTTTAACTGACAAAGATATACAATAAGCCGAACATGACATTTATTATGTGGCTGGCTAATGATGCTCTCACTCTGTCTCAATGAGGGGCAGATGGTCATGGGTCATAAAGGGATATCCTAGGAGAGAACAGGAGCTCACAAGGCCAAGGGAACAACAATGGTTTCTTCACTTGCTCATTTGCTTTCAGGATATTGCCACGTGTTGAAGTTTATAAGCCTGGTTACATGGATTCACAGACTATATTGTTACTTTAACTAGCCCAGCCTTCATAAAATGGACAAGTGGCTGAAAAAAGAATCTCTATAGAAACTGCATAATAAATAATACTACCAAGGCTGGGTGCCTGGGTGGCTTAGATGGTTAAGCATCTGCCTTCGGCTCAGGTCATGATCCCAGGGTCCTGGGATTGAGTCCCACATCAGGCTCCTTGCTCAGCAGGGAGTCTGCTTCTCCCTCTCCCTCTGCCTCTCTCCCTGCTTGTTCTTTCTCTGTCTCTCTCTCAAATGAATAAATAAAATCTTTAAAAAAAATAAGTAAGTAAGTAAATAAATAAATAATCCTACCAAGGCAATGAGCAAACCACAAGCAAACAACAAGAAAAAGGCAGGGCTAACACTTTCCTGCCTTCTAGTAACAGGTCCACTGCAGTAACAGTGTGAGGTTTACAAAACAGGAGTCTCGTTAGACTTGATGAGAAATTGGCCTCAAACACTTGAAATTATCAAGAAGATACCTGACACAATAGATTTACATCAACTACTGTTAAAGATGATCCTAGCACGAAGTGTATATTATGCCTTGATACGAAATCATGAGGAAAAACATTTAAAAACTAACTACCCTGAATTAATGATAGTTCTTTTCAAATAAGAACAAAAAAGATTTTTATATCACTAATAAATACCATACAACAAATTGTTTCATCTTTATCTCCTCCCTTTTCATTTCTGTTGGTTTTCTTCCATTTGGTTACTTAGTTCTCCCAGCAGGACTATCGGTTTAGATGATATATGGGAAAGTATCTAGCAGTGTTCTGGGCAAGAGTAGGTCATTGCTAATGTCATTATTAGGTTTGATGAAGTGATCAGAACCATGTCAGACCTGGACCAGTCCAGGCCATGGGAAAGAGCCACCTGATTCGGTCCTGACATTCACATGGGGACTTCATACTGGAAATGGTTGCATACATCATCACATAATATTATGCAATACAATAAAAAGGTATCTACAACAGAACAATAGCAACTTTGGGTCTTTCATTTTCAGGATTAAAAGTATCATCAATTATTAAACTGTCAGTTTTATTTTTTATTTATTTTTAAATATTTTCTTTATTTATTTGACAGAGAGACAGAGCATGTGAGCACATGAGCAAGGGGGAGGGGCAGAGGCAGAGGGAGAAGCAGGCTCCCTGCTGAGCAGGGAGCCCAATGTGGGACTTGATCCCAGCACCCTGGGATCATGACCTGAGCCAAAGTCAGATATTTAACCGACTGAGCCACCTAGGCACCCTAAACTGTTCGTTTTAAATTGCAGATGGGGACAGAAACTGTGTGTGTCTTTGTCACTGATCGATGCCTGGCAACTAGTATGCCCTCAATAAGTGTTCCTAATTTTTGAACATTATATATAATCACTGGAGTTCCTCAATGTTTAGCACTCTCACTGGATGCCATTTAGTGATTCTCAACCCTGGCTGTATCTTAGAAACCAATGTGAAGCTTTCAAGCAATACCAGTGCCTGGGCTCCGACCTAGACCCATTACATCAGCATCTCTGCCAAGAGATACCAGTATTTTTAAATGAGAACTCCAGGATATTCTAATGTGCAGCCAGGATTGAGCACCCCGGGGCTAGATTATCTGCCTCTTCTCTTCACCCTACTGGCTTCCTGCTGTTTAATGGGGAAACAGCACTCTTATAGAAATCTGGTGAATTGGCACCATTTCCATGGAAGGATTTGTCAATATCTATCACACAAATACATGTATCTTTTTTCCTTATTTATTTATTTATTTAAGACTTATTTATTTGAGAGAGAGTGAGAGACCGCATGCACGTGGGGCAGGGGTGGGGGTGGTGGTGGGCCAGGGAGGGTAGAAAGGGGAGGGAGAGGGACAAGCTGACTCACGTGGAATGCAGAGCCTGATATGAGGCTCAATCTCAGGACCCTGAGATCATGACCTAAGCGGAAACCAAGAGTCAATGCCCAACCAACTGTACCAGCCAGGAGTCCCCCCACCTTTTTTTCCTTTTAAAGAAAGAAAGAGAGAGCAGGCATGAGTGAGGGAGGTGGGGAGAGGAAGAGGGAGAGGGAGAATCTTAAGCAGGCTCCATGCTCATTGCGGAGCCATGGTTGGGCTCAATCTCATGACCCCGAGATCATGACCTAAACTGAAATCAAGAGACAGACTCCCAACTGACTGAGCCATCCAGGCATCCCACAAATACATGTATCTTGTAACTAAGTGATTCTATCAGAAACATTTCCTTTAAATATACTTACACATGTGCGTGATGCCATATTTATAAGGGTATTAACTGTAGCATTGTTTATAATAACAAAAGGGCAGAAAAATCTAAATATCCATTAATTAGGGATTAGTTAAATAAAATATGGTTTAGCTATACAAGGGAATATTATGGGATATTGTTTATTTATACAATGGAAATTGTTTAATAAAAAGGAGGATTTTTTTTCTTTTGCTAAGTATGTATAGAATGCTACTATTGTATTGTGGTAAGAACACTTAACACAACATTTACCCTCTTAACAAATTTTAAGTGTATGATATACTATTGTAAACTGTAGGCAAAATGATACACAGCAGATCTCTAGAACTTATTCATCTTGCATAATTGAAACTTTACGCCTGTTGATTGGCAATTTCCAATATCTCCTTCTCCCCTCTTTGTGATTTCTTAATGGGTTAAAAAAATTATATATATATATAAATTTTATTGCCATATTGTATTTTTATTGCATATTACATATATATAATTTTTTTGCATAAACAGATATTTGTATATGCATAGAGTATCTCTGGAATACCTAAGAAACTAATAAATAATAATTAATAACATCAGTTGCCCCTGGGGAGGTAAATTGGCTGACTGGGGAATTAAGAATAGGAGGGAGATTTTTTTACCATCCACCTCTCTGTACATTTCTATTTAGAAATTTTTTAACGTATAATTATTTTTTAAAATGAAAGTGTTCCTAACAAGTAAAACAAGATGTCTATGGTCAGTATGACTAGGTAGCAGTAACAAATGAAACTGTAATTTCTTAAATTCTAAAAGGAGAAATAAATGAGAGGTGATAGGTAACATAAACTCTTCTAGAATAGAGACTAAGTTGTCTCCATGACGTATGCAACTCAGAATGTCTACTACTCTTCACTGTATACAGTCAATGTTCAGCCAGGTATTAAGTTGGCCACCATATGCTTTTTCCTGAAAAGCTACTGTAGCATTAAAAGATTTTTTTGAGAACTCTATCATTTGAACTATTTTTTATTATTAATTATCATTTCCTTGTTATCCAAATGTACATATTCTTACACAGTTGCCACAATTACGTACATTCTTTTCCATCCTTTTCCCTCATCTTCCCTATCTTTACAATACTTTTTTTTTTAAGATTTTATTTATTTATTTGAGAGAGAGAATGAGATAGAGAGAGAGATCATGAGGGTCAGAGGGAGAAGCAGACTCCCTGCTGAGCAGGGAGCCCGATGCAGGACTCGATCCCGGGACTCCAGGATCATGACCTGAGCCGAAGGCAGTCGCTTAACCAACTGAGCCACCCAGGCGTCCCTACAATACTTTTAATCATTAAAATTTGAATGCCTATATAATAGTTTTTCTTTTGATGTCTCATCGTTGCTCTAAATAATTACCTAATTATCAGGCATTTGGCATTTCGCAAGAATTGAATTGGCTTGTAGAAATTCAGTGGATTTCACCAGAGTATCCTATGCTTGCTTCCCTTGTCATGGAAATTTAAATTGTGGGATATCTATGGGGTGCATTAGGGAGCTATTAAAAATGAAGATTTAATATGAAAAGATGCCTATGATATCTTTAAAGATGTCATAATATACAAGCCTGTGTTTAAAGATGTAACGTTTATAAATGTACGTCTCCGTTTTCAAGTGAAAAGGATAGAAGGAGATCCTGCCCCTGGCCCCTTGCATCTCACCTGTGCTGGCTTGAGGACTAGGGTATTGCCTGCCGCCAAGCACGCGGCACTCTTCCATGCTAGCATCATCAGCGGGTAATTCCAGGGGATGATAATGGCGCAGACACTGCAGGAGTAGAAAGACGCTATCCTTAGTTGTCTCCAACCAACACAACTCACACCAGTCACCCAAGGCCCTCTCCTTGTCTTACCCAAGTGGCTCCTTCTTGGTGAAGGTCAGATTGCGATTTGGACGGGCCTGGTTGATTGGAATGGTAGAACCCTAAATAGTAAAAAAAGGTTAATACTTATTTTACTAATTCAAATGAGTAAATCTAATCTCAAGGAATCCATTTTCTGTCCACCTGTCTTAATTTTTCTTAGCTGGTATGAAAAGGCAGTGTTCAATTTATAAGAAATATATCCACACCGAAAAAAGGAGCTGCTATTTCTTTCTGGAGGGAAGTAAGACACAGGAGAATAAACCTAATTATATGTATGTATGTATGTATCTCTATATAATAAACATAGTTCTTTTTTTTTTTAAGATTTTATTTATTTGTTTGAGAGAGAGAGAGAGCATGAGGTGGGGGGAAGGGGCAGAGGGAGAGGGAGAAGCAGGCTCCCTGCTGAGCAGGAAGCCAGCTATGGTACTCCATCCCAGGGACCCCGAGATCATGATCTGAGCTGAAGGTAGATGCCTCACCGACTGAGCCACCCAGGTGCCCCTATATACTAAACATAACTCTAATTTAGTTAACCTCCATTCCCAACTTCTCGACATGGCAGAGAACGTTAATTGCCTGCCCAGGATCCATTCTTCCATCTGTCCTTAGTAACAGAAACCCTATTATTAATAATGGTATCAGCCATGTGCCCAGATAAAATTCTGTTTTCCAGTTTCCAGGGCAGACAGGGATGGTCAACAGAAGATGTAAGCATAAGGCATGTTCTTTTGCCATAAACCCCCACCCTCTCTTCTGCCTTCTTCCTGCTCAGAATGTCCCTGACATGGCTGATAAGTACAGTGGTTATCTTGAGACCATGACACAGTCTTGAGGGCAGAGGTCACTGGTATAAAGATGGTCTGATAGTGAGAGAGGAAAACTGAGTGTCATACTCTAGCCCTGACTACTTGCCTTGTGCTCCTTGAGAATGAGGTAAAAAAAAAGTTCCTATTTGGATTTCTGTTCCATGCAGCCAAACTTAATCCCAAGTAATTCACAATAATAATCTTTAACTGAAGCTATTCATTTGTTTGGCCACATATGAGAGTATTGCTGTTACTAATTACAAGCGTCCGGCTCTTACCTGAAATCCTTGGGGCCAAGTGTGTTTTGGGATTAAGAATTAGTTGGACTATAGAAACATAACATAACACATGTACCTCATGTTATATTATCTATGACTCCCAGTAGGGTCTGGAGCAGCCCCTCATAATCAAACATATGATTATTGGACTATTTATTTAGTGAAACATGAATATTCCCTCTAAGTGATAGAAATACAAATTATAAATAGATTCATGTTGGTTCAGATCAGCTTTTGGCAACAAATGAGTTTGAACCACTCAAACCAATTAGCATTCAGGTTTTGGAGCTCTTTGGATTTCATAATTGAGGATAAAGGATGGACCTGAACCACCACTACTAAATACTTACATATGGATGATTTGTGACTGAAGAATAATAAAACCTATGTTCACGTGCAAGCCCTCATCTGTTGCAAACTTGTTGCTAAGCCTCACTACATAACTTGCAGGGTTTGTATTATTGTGACCATAGTATGAATGAGGAAAGTAAGGTTTAGAGAGATAAATAACGTTAACATTAGCTGGTAAGTGGCAAAGCTGACCCTTGGACCCACGTCTCTCTGACTCTATATTAATAGTGGTAACAGCAACTCACCCAAATAAAATATTGTTTCCCAGTCTCCTTAGCAGACAGAGAAGGCCAATGGGAGATATAAGCACAAGGGAGGGTGGGATTGCTTTTTAAAGCTCTTTTGTCTTTCTCTCCCGGCCCCACTCCCTCCTTCTCACTGCTGGGAGGGTGGCTGAGACGGCTGGTACTGCTGTGGTTATCATGAGTCTATGAGCAGCATGCATGCTTCTCTTTGTTATGAGCCTTACCTTTACCTTTTATATTCCCAATGCTGAGGTCAAATGTAGTTGCCACTTACCATCACACATGTACTATTTACTTTCTTATAGTAAAAAGGGAAATGAAATATTTATTGTACCCATGCTTTAGAAAATTATTCTTATACCCAACTGACTTAGACCATGTATGTTAGCTCTCTGGCTTCTGTAGGCATTTGAATTTTCCTTCTCTCCATGACACCCTCTGTGTCTAGAAGACTATGAGATGCCTTTAGAGACATTAAAGTATAAAAAATACCATCAGATTTTAGTTCAGAAATTCTTGAGTTCAAATCCTAGGCTCTATGGTTTACTTACTAACAATGTGACCATATACAAGTCTTTCACTGTCCTCAAGCTTCTGTTTTCCTTACCTGCAGTAAGGGATGACAGCTATCTACCACAGACGATTTTTATAAAGATGAGATGAGAAAACCTAATAGATGGCTCTAAAACAGTGCCTTTATAAAGACTAAATGTTCGGCCCTCTTCCTGTTGGAATGATCTCCATGGCGACAAATAACATCCGTGCTTACCTGAATTTTGTCACACCAGCCAGCAAAGTATCTGAATGTTTGCACAGACATTCCAATATGAGTCTTCAGAGCTAGGGTGTAGACAGCACCCGAATCAAGGGCTTCAATAGTTGCCAACTCTTCTTGGTTCTCTTCCAGTAGGTCTGCAAGTCTGTATGGTCAGGGAAAGAAATTCATTCAACAAATATTGATGGAGCTCCTATTAGGTATAGGGCACCATCCTAAGGGCTGAGAATTCAGAGGTGAACACACATGGATGAGGTTTTTGTCCTCATAGAGAATATGCTCCAGCAGGGAAGGCATTAAAAAAATCATTTCATAAATGATTTGGTTTTTGGGGCACCTGGGTGGCTCAGATGGTTAAGCGTCTGCCTTCGGCTCAGGTCATGATCCCAGGGTCCTGGGATCGAGCCCCGCATCGGACTCCTGGCTCAGCGGGGAGCCTGCTTCTCCCTCTCCCTCTGCCTCTCTCCCTGCTCATGCTCTCTGTATCTCTGTGTCTCAAATGAATAAATAAAATCTTAAAAAAAAAAAAAAGGTGGTTTTTTTTGTTTTTTTTTAAGATTTTATTTATTTCTTTGAAAGAGAGACACAGCGAGAGAGGGAACACAAGCAGGGGGAGTGGGAGAGGGAGAAGCAGGCTTCCCGCCGAGCAGGGAGCCCAATGTGGGGCTCGATCCCAGGACCCTAGGATCATGACCTGAGCCGGAGGCAGACGCTGAACGACTGAGCCACCCAGGCGCATAAATGATTTGTTTCAAGAGTTACAAAAAAGAAGTGTGGGAAGCCTGTACCATTTGCCTCATACATGCATAAGAAGTAGAACAGTGATTGAGCCACAGTAATCCGAGGAGATCAATGACAGAAAACAGTGGGAATGTGGCCAGTTCATGAAGATACAGGGAGATGTTAGAGAGTGCAACCTATAAGAATCCATGAACATGAGGATTTCTGGTTGGTACAGGAATGTTTCCAGCACTAACTGAAAAGGACAAGATAGAAATACATGGGGTGAGGGGTGCCTGGGTGGCTCGGTCGTTGAGTGTCTGCCTTTGGCTCGGGAAGTGGTCCGGGGTCCTGGGATCGAGCCCCGCATCCGGCTCCCTGCTTGGCGGGAGGCCTGCTTCTCCCTCTCCCACTCCCCCTTGCTTGTGTTCCCTCTCCAGCTGTGTCTCTCTCTGTCAAATAAATAAATAAAATCTTTAAAAAAAAAAAAAAGAAATACATGGGGTGAATTACAGACACCACAACAGATTTCTGGTAGGTGTCCAGATTCCGTGGCAAGGTAAGTCAAGGATTGTCTAATGGCTCTGAAAGAGTCAAAATTCATCTTTTGTGCTCCCCTCAACCATTGGTTTTCTTTCCATCCTTTAGTGGTTCTCTGAGTTGTTCCTTTTGGACTATTCTAAATTATAAATAGATTCATGTTGGTTCAGATCAGCTTTTGGCAACAAATGAGTTTGAACCACTCAAACCAATTAGTATTCGGGTTTTGGAGCTCTTTGGATTTCATAATTGAGGATAAAGGATGGACCTGAACCACCACTACTAAATACTTACATATGGATGACTTTGTGACTGAAGAATAATAAAACCTATGTTCACGTGCAAGCCCTCATCTGTTGCAAACTTGTCGCTAAGCCTCACTACATAACTTGCAGGGTTTGTATTATTGTGACCATGGTATGAATGAGGAAAGTAAGGTTTAGAGAGATAAAACAACTTTAACAACAGTTAAAGGGGGAAAGCCCTCTCCCTCAATGTTTCTTCCATATCCTACTCTAAGAGATATTTTGACCAAGGTCAGCTATTTGGCTCTAGAAATTCAGTAGAAAAGAGAATTTATGCTTGAATCTAATTAGTCTTGGCATATTCGGTTACTGATTTATAATACCCTTTCCGGGCCTTAGTATTTTTCCTCCTGACTCCTACTCTCTACAGGTCAAGTGGATTTAAAATTCGTCTTTGAAAACAACAAAGTGCTATTCCCCATTTGCTGTTCTGTATGCATCCTCCACACCGCTCTGTGATCCGGGAGGATGACCTTTATAGACTCCATCACCTGGCTCCCATGCTCTGTCACTGGGCTTGACTAATGAGAAGCCAATGGGCAGCACCCCCGGGAGAGAAAGCGATCGGGGATTCCATTCCCCAGCTCCTTCACAGATGGGCTGTGGTTCAGCAGCTGCTGTGTCCCTCCACCAAAAACCACTGGAGTGTGGTCTTCTACAGCTACAGATCTTGCCAGATTCCAGCAACAGCCCCTTCCTCTGTCCCAGACCCTAGAGTACTAATAGCTTCCCCCTGTTGCTGTCCCTAACTGGGTACTTCATTACCCCTTGACCTTGCCCACATCTCCATAAATGTTTCTTTATTAAACTTTTTTGCCGACTGGAACCCTGACTGTTACAAACAATAATACAAAAACCAGGAACTCACATATATGGAATTTTATATGAGGTAAGTAACAGGAGGCGTATAATAGGTGCATACTAGAATATTTGGGGGACAATGTTAGCCCATATCCCTAGAGAGCAGATCTGTGTTTTTAAGAACCACACCTGTACATCAATCTTCCTCTTTCTCTTGCATTCATTCTTCCCCATTCACCTTTTTCAAAGGCATCTTTTGCTGCAGCTACTGCTTTATCAACATCCACCAAAGAAGCATAGGATACTTTGCATATTGTCTGTTTCAAGGTAAACAAAAACAGGCTATAGGTCATTTACATAGAGATACAGAAATATGCTTCTTGAAATTAATATCATATTAATAGGAAAAATAGAGTATTACTTATAAAACCCAAAGAATTTATGATGGAACATCAATACACTCAGTAGCATAGTAAAGAACAATTTTAACACGGAAATCCTTAGCCTGAAATTTGGGACCTCTCATGTCACCCTACACCATGGAAAGACACATTTAGGAAGAATATATTTATTTCTCCTGGTGCTTAGGGAAGCTGAATTTCTTGCCATGAGCTTGCAGAGTCCAAAAATTCTTTTCTGCATATAGTTTTATTGAAGGTGTGCCTCTGATGTGTATAGGTATAGTTATCTGTCTAAATTCATCAGAAATATTCATCCAATAAAACAGGTGATTATAGTTAGTGGCCATTACTAGAATTGAACAGTTGAAAGAAATACACAGAGTGCATTTAGAGTAAGTGCTCAGAGGCAAAGTGATAGAATAAACTAACTTCCTAAGACTGTCAGTTTTACAACTGTGCATAAATTAAAAAGTCACAACCAGTAGTCCCTGCATGCACAAGTAATTTACTCACAGATCCATCTGTTGGGTTGATAGTTTCATAGGTCTTTCCATCGTCAGCATCTGTGAACTGTCCATTTATGAAACACTGATATGGCATTTTCACTGTCATTTCATTGACCTCCTTCGAAACCTAAGATAGAGAATTATATTAATAGGTTCAGTGGATTTCTCTGCTTATCCATTTGATGCCAAATAGCAATAAACAAGTTTACTCACTAATGCAGCGGGAGAAGTTTTATCTATAGGATTCTAGTTCCTACTCTCCAGAAGAGACCAGCATATGTAAGATTTGGGCCTCGTGATGCTCAGATTGGCCACTGAGCCAAGGAGCTAGCATCTCTGACGACCAAAGTACTCTAGGTTGGGCCATATAAATAAATACCTCAGATTTTCTTCCTTACACAAATGAGAGAACTCAAAAGGCCTCCAGATAATGGAAACGGCACCATCTAGTGGCAACATCTATGGAGCGCAGCCCTTGCTTTCATTTGTATCCTTGAAATTGCCTTTGTGGATTAAGTTTCCTTTTACAATGTTGCCATTTTAAGTTTTTTTCTTTAAGTTCCTTCCCCATTTTTCACTTTCTCTCTCTCTTACAAATGTGTTGCCTTAATTCTATTCTGTACCGTTAACTAGCGAATGAATTTAGGTTAGTCCATTAACTACTATGAACTTCAGTTTTTTCAACAATGCAAAGGGGAGAGGTGCCCGGGTGGCTCAGTGGGTTAAGCGACTGACCCTTGATTTTGGCTCAGGTCATGATCTCAGGACTGTGAGATCAGGCCCGGTGGGCACCCCGCTCAGCGGGGAGTCTGCTTGAGATTCTCTCCATCTTCCCCCCCGCCACCTGCACGTGTGTGCTCTCTCTCTAAAATAAATAAATAAAATATTTCAAAAAATTAAAAGGGGATAATGCTACCTGCTTCATACAGTTATTATGAGGAATAACTGAGAAAACATATGTGAAAGAGCATTATTAGAATAAAATTTCATAATGGCACGAGGTATAAAAAGTATAATTTTGGGCGCCTGGGTGGCTCAGTTGGTTGGGCAACTGCCTTCGGCTCAGGTCATGATCCTGGAGTCCTGGGATCGAGTCCCACATCCGGCTCCCTGCTCAGCAGGGAGTCTGCTTCTCCCTCTGACCCTCCCCCCTCTCATGCTCTATCTCATTCTCTCTCTCAAATAAATAAAAATCTTAAAAAAAAAAGTATAATTTCATATAGAGAAATTGATAATGCTTAAAAAAGAAACAAAAAATATCAAGACAGTATCTACTCTTATCCCACAGATAAGAAATACTTCTATGAAATATTTCTGTTGTGTTTATATAGGATATAATGAAGGAATCTTCATCTGATTTGATGTGTCTAGTCTCTGCATATAGTTCACTTCTGTAAACTCATCATTCTGGAAATACGCTAAGTGTTTTACATGCATTATCTAGTTTGATTCTCCCAACTATCCTATGAGGTAGATATTATTATTGTCCCATCTAATATATGAGGAAACCAAGGCTTAGAGAAGCAAAGTAACTTGCCACAGGTCACACAGCTGGTAAGCGATGCTACGTGGATTCAACCTTAGGTGGGTCTGACACCAAAATTCGTGTTCTTAACCAGAGGATGCTAAACTGCTTCCCAAATCTACCTAAATTTTATTTTATTTATTTAATTTTTTTTAAATTTTTTATTTATTTGTGAGAGAGAGAATGAGAGACAGCATGAGAAGGAGGAGGGTCAGAGGGAGAAGCAGACTCCCCGCTGAGCAGGGAGCTCGATGTGGGACTCGATCCCGGGACTCCAGGATCATGACCTGAGACGAAGGCAGTCGCTTAACCAACTGAGCCACCCAGGCGCCCTCAAATTTACCTAAATTTTATTAAAAACACATGGATAAGGAGCATTTCTGGAATAGTAGACTAGGTCATAAAAGCCACAAGAACATTAGAAAATATTGTCAAAATCATTTTTCTCATGACTCTGGAAATTAACCAAAAGCTTGAAAGAATCCATTTATTCAAGAAAAATAGTTGAATCTCTGTAAGCACAGTGAGTTCTGTGGTATATTAACTGCCCTACTCTTTCCTATCTCTCTCTTGACAGCTCTGCAGTATGAAAACCAACATCCTTACAACTATGGTGGCTGTGAAAACCAGCAGCCTGTTAGTCACCAGAGGGGGACAAATCATCCCCAGAAGCTCCCAAGAGGCCTTATCTCCACAGAGCTTCCCAATGTCAAGCTCTATACTCCATGTTTGTCTTTATTTGACCTGACTCAGAGCTTGCTCTGCACAAACTACCTTAGTCCTTCAGTGAAGGCTGAGAGACTTATCAGTTCAAGAAATTTAAGGAAATCAATGTCTGATCATCAACTGATGACTTAGTTAGCTGAGTGGAGACTTCAGTGGTGGCAAACAACAAAGAATACAGGCTTTACAGGATTCGTCCAAGAAAGTCACTAAATAAAGAAAAAAGCAAGAACAACCAGCAACAGTAATCCCTGTGAAAGGAGGGGTCCTATTTCCAGAGTTGCCACATTCTGTTATTTAAAATGGCTGGTTTTCAACAAAAGATTGCAAGATACATGAAGAAACATGAAAGAATAAAGAGTGGCCAATACATAGGACAAATAATAGTCAATAGAAACCATCCTGGAAAAGACCTAGACACTGGATTTATCAGAGAAAGATTTTAAATAAGCTTTTATAAATATGTTCAAATAACTAAAGGAAGCTATGTCTAAACAATTAAAGGAATGTAAAAGAACAGTGTCTCACCAAATAGAGAATATCAATAAAGAGGTAAGAATTCTAAAAGAAGAACCAAAGAGAAATTCTGGAGCTGAAAAGTGCAACAACTGAAATTTTAAAAATTCACTACAGGGGCTCAACAGTAGAGTGAAGCAAGAGGAACAAAGAACTAGCAAATTAGACAATAGGTCAAGAGATTATCCAGTCTGAAAACAGGAAGACAAAAGAAGGCCTGTGGGACACCATCAAATGTACCAACACATGCGTAATGGGAGTTCCAGAAGGAGAGGAGAGGGGGGAAAGAGGCAGGAAGAATATTTGAAGAAATAACAAATGAAAATATCCCAACTTTGATGAAGAACATTAAACCATACATCCAAGAAGTTCAACAAACTCCAGGTAGGATAAACTCAAAGAGATCCATTTTAGAAACATCATAATGAAATGGTCAAAAGCCAAAGATAATGAAGGAATCTTGAAAGCAGCAAGAGAGAAGCAACGCATCACATAAAATGGATCCTTAATAAAATTAATAGATGACTAATGCTCAGAAACACGCAGGCCAGAAGGCAATACGATGACATATTCAAAGTGCTGAAAGAAAAAGACTGCCAACCAACAATTCCATATACAGCAAAAACACCCTTCAGAAACAAAGGAGAAATTAAGTCATTCCCAAATGAACAAAGACAGAGAAGCTAGCATACTGCCCTTCAAAAAGTGCTAAAAGGTATCCTTCAGGTTGAAATGAAAGGACCCTACACGGTACTTGAATCTACATGAAGAAATAAAGCACACTGATAAAAAGTAAATACAAAAGTCAGTATACATGTATTTTTGTCTTTAACTCTTCTCCTATCTGATTTAAAAGACAAATGCATAAAGCAATGATTATAAAACTATGTCGGTGGGCTTACAATGTATAAAGATGTAATTTGTACGACAATAATATCATAAATGTGGGGATAGGGAGCAGACTAAATTACAACAAAGTTTTTCTTTACTATTGTTATTAGGTTGACCTTAATCTGAACTGGAATGTTTTAAACAAAAATGTTCCTTGTAATCCTCAAGGCAATCATTAAGAAACTAACTAAAAATCTATAGTAAGAGAAACAATAAGGGATTAAAATGGCACACTAGACTATTTTTAATACAAACAAAATGCAGGAAAGGAAAAATAGAGGAGCAAAAAGGGCAAGACAAGACATATACAGGCATACCTCGGAGACATTGCAGGTTCAGTTCCAGACTGTTGCAATAAAGAGAATATTGCAAAGAAGCCAGTCAAATGAATTTATTGGTTTCCCAGTGCACATAAAAGCCATATTTACACTACACTGTAGTTTATTAAGTACGCAATAGCATTATGTCTAAAAAAATCAATGTCTATGCTTTAATTAAAAATACTTTAGCGGGGCGCCTGGGTGGCTCAGTGGTTAAGCGTCTGCCTTCGGCTCAGGTCATGATCCTGGAGTCCCAGGATCGAGTCCCGCATCAGGTTCCCTGCTCAGCAGGGAGTCTGCTTCTCCCTCTGACCCTCCTCCCTCTCATGCTCTCTGTCTCTCATTCTCTGTCTCAAATAAATAGGTAAAATCTTTAAAAAAAACAAACAAAACTTTAGCGGGGCGCCTGGGTGGCTCAGTGGTTAAGCGTCTGCCTTCGGCTCAGGTCATGATCCCGGGGTCCTGGGATTGAGCCCCGCATCGGGCTCCCTGCTCCACAGGAAGCCTGCTTCTCCCTCTCCCACTCCCCCTGCTTGTGTTCCCTCTTTCGCTGTGTCTCTCTCTGTCAAATAAATAAATAAAATCTTAAAAAAAAAAAAAAAAGATACCAGAGATAGGGAACCCTTGAAACATTACCATGTTTGTGGAGAGAAAATCCCAATAGGGACCAATGAACAAGGTGCTCTAAAAGAAATATAGGGCGCCTGGGTGGCTCAGTTGGTTAAGCGACTGCCTTCGGCTCAGGTCATGATCCTGGAGTCCTGGGATCGAGTCCCGCATCGGGCTCCCTGCTCAGCGGGGAGTCTGCTTCTCCCCGTGACCCTCCCCCTTCTCATGCTCTATCTCATTCTCTCTCTCAAATAAATAAATAAAATCTAAAAAAATAAAAATAAAATAAATAAAAGAAAAATATAAACATCATACTGAACTTCTTTCAATTCCTCAAAATCCCCTCCCCACCTTTTTTGTTAAAGTAGCTACGACTAACCCCTACCTGGAATACTCTCTCTTTCTTTTCCTATCCCCCCTCCTAAAATTTCTATTAGCATGGCTAGTGATCCTTTAGATTGCAGCTAAAATCACTTCCTCTTTGAGACACCTGGGTATCTCAGTCGTTAAGTGTCTGCTTTCGGCTCAGGTCATGATCCCAGGATCCTGGGATTGAGCCCCACATTGAGGTCCCTGCTCAGCAGGAAGCCTGCTTCTCCCTCTTCCATTCCCCCTGCTTGTGTTCCCTCTCTCGCTATCTCTCTGTCAAATAAATAAATAAAATCTTAAAAAAAAAAAGGAAGCTGTCAAAAAAGTGACAAAAAGCCCACAGAACGGGAGAAAATATTTACAAATCATATATCTGATTAAGCTCTAGTATCCAAAATATACAAAAGCCCCTTACAACTCAACATTAAAAAGACACACATTCCAAGAAAATGAGTAAAGGATTTGGATGCACATTTTCCCAAAGAAGATATACAAATGACCGATAAGCACATGAAAAGGTGCTCATCATTAGTCATCAGGGAAATGTAAGTCAAAGCTGCAATGATATACCATTTCACACCTACCACTAAAATAGGAAAGACAGACAATAGGCAAATGTTGGTGAGGACGTGGATAAATTGGAACTTTTCTACATTGCTACAGGGATAGTGAAATGGTGTAGCCACTTTGGCAAACAGCTTGGTAGCTCCCGCAAAAGTTAAAGAGTTACCATATGACTCATCAATTGCACTCCTAGGTATATACCCCAGAGAACTGAAAACATGTGTTCACACAAAAACTTACACATGAATTTTCATAGCAGCATTATTTATAATAGCCAAAGAGTGAAAACAACCCAAATGTCCATTCACTGAGAGATGGATAAACGAAATGTTGTCTATCCATACCACAGAATACTATCTGGCCAAAAAAACGAGTGAAGTACACAACACACACAACAACGTGGATGAACCTTGACCACATGGTGCTCAGTGAAAGAAGTCAGGTACAAAAGGCCACAAATTGTGTGATTCCATGTATAGGAAATATCTACAGTAGGCAAATCCGCAGAGACAAAAAGAGATTAGTGGTTTCTGGGGGCTGGGGGAGGGGGAGAACAGAGGATGACTGTCAGTGGAGTCAGGGTTCCTTTACGGGGTGATAAAAATGTTCCATAATCAGAAAGAGGTAAATGGTTACACAACTCTGTGAATATACTTAAAACCACTGAACTGTACATTTTAAAAGGGTGAATTTTGGGGTGCCTGGGTGGCTCTGTTGGCCTACTCTTGATTTCAGTTCAGGTCATGATCTCAGGGTCCTGGGATTGAGCCCCATGTCAGGCTCTGCACTCCGCAGGGAGTCCACTTGAGATTCTCTCTCTCCCTCTCCTTGTGCCCCTCCCCCTGCTCGTTCACACTCTCTTTCTCTAAAATAAATAAATAAGTATTTTTTAAAAAAGGTGAATTTTATCGTGTCTGAATTTTATCTCAATAAAATAGCTATCTCAAAAAGGTCATAAATGTAAAAACAAATGAACAAAAGGCATAGCATTCCCTTATAGCTTATGAGTCTTAATGATGTAGATTTCAGGCAGCATGGAGAAGCTTACATAATCCACGACTAGCTCTGCTTCTTGATCTTCTCCTCTCAGTTTCCTCACAACTTTTTGGATGAAGTCTTCAAACTTGGTGGCCATGTAGACATCTTCATTCTGTAGCTGAAGCCCACCACACTTCTGTCTGATCTCTTCAACCAGCCTTAAAGTAAGAAGCAACTCACATTACTTACATTTTTAAAAGGGTTTAGGGGAACCATATTATTACATTTGTCAAGTTGCTTTGAGATAAGACATGTCACATGCCTATTTATAGCCTATGAGATCTTCCATGATAATACTTGGAGAAATTGGATAAGACCGGGAGAACAAAATTAAAAAGCTGTCTTGAAGGACAGTGGATATTCTTTTGTTTTTAACTTTGTATATGGCTAAAAGTAAAAGAAACCAAGGCAAAAACATTTTACCTACTTGCAAGCAAGATAATAAGGGGCACATAAAATCAGTTCCTTCCCTTTCAAAGGTAAGCAAGGAATGAGAAATAAAGTCCCTAACTGTAAAGATTATGAAACAAAAGTCATATGGTATAATATTGTCTCTAGATCATGTATAAGAATGAAACAAACATGTGCTTGTACATGGTTAGTGTAGCTACTAAGTAGAATCATGCACTAGGTCAAGATAATTTTTGAAGTCTCTTCCGATGCTTTGATTTTTTGCTGTTAATTTTTCAAATTATAGCTGTTATTTGCCATTTCTGGAATAGCACTTGTGATAGATGCAGGACAGAAAGACCACCTTGGTTGTTGTTCAGTCATTTCTTCTCCAAGAGAGATGAGGTGCTTTGGCCGTTCAAGATAACAGTATCAGGTGATTATAGTAATTCAGATACTCAAGCGGAAAATGGGCAATTCTTGAGGAGTATCTTGCTAGCGAAAAAATAGCGTTAACAGTATAGTATTGAAATCTTTAGTTGAGCAAATTAGAAGTTTCAGGGAACTCGTGAATCATAGCTGAGAAATTTGTAATTTGAGGAACCAAAACTCTTGACTTTGATAATACTATTTGCTCTGGAGATGATTATTTGGATTACTGGAATAAAAGTTCCATGAATGAAGGAACTTTGTCCTGTTCATGACTGTATTCCCAGTGCCAAAACTGTTCCTGATATGTCGTACATATGCAATGAATTTTGTGGAATAAATGAGTGAATAAGCAAATAAACAGAATGATCATCAAGAACACTCACTTTTTTTGACATGAGGAGCAGCACTCTTTAACTTATTTAATTAGCGAATGGCTGTAGTGTGGCCCTCAACAAAAAAATATCTCTGCAAGACTCTCTGCTATTAGTATCCTCGCAGACCTTTAATTTAATTTATTTATTTTGCCATAAAAGAGAGAGTTCTAGGACTCTAGCTCTTTCAACTTGCCATAAACCTCTATAGAGAAATTCTGACTATAGGGTAATTATTCTTCCTCTTGCAAGTATCCTGATAGTCCTTATTCTAGATATATCTTACTGGGTAATTTAGAGGGATAGGAAAAAAAGATATTGGGGGAAGTACGATCAACGTCGGGTATCCTTCTGAATCAGACTATGTAGGTAATTCCTGATAAACGTTCTCAGCCAGAACTTCCCATTCCAGTGCCATATTGGAGGAAAATTATTTAAGAAATGTGAGGACAGATTTTTAAAAAAGAAACAAACAATTACAAGCATTGGTTTTCTAGGTATACAGGACATATGAAAACAACTCCTGGCTAGCAACAAAGAGGAAGGAACAAATATACGTGTTTGACCATGGAAACAAACAATCCAAAAAAGAGGAAGAAAAGAGAAACAGAGTATAGTGGGTATGGTAAAGTGATAACATCCAGAACAAAGGATTGGATTGGATTTTCAAAGTCAAAGTCAAAATCTGGAGGGGAGGGGTGTGAGTCAACAGGGTGACTGTTTTACCGGACAACATCCATTGAGCTGGCTCCAGATTTAAAGAAGTCTGTGGAGTCTTCAATAACAGGAACATTGCTTAAAATTCCAGCCCAGATGACCTGTACAGCAAGGGTAATTTTTATGAAGGACGTGCCATGAAGAACACAGTGGCAGAAACTGGCCAGCTCCTCAACCAAAACTACTTTTTTTCATCTCGGATACCTTGCTTGACTACATTTTTCAGCATCTCTTCAAGTTAGATGCAGCCATGTGACCGACTCCTAGCCAATGAATATGAGTGGAAGTGAACCTGACTCCTAGCCTTGACCCATGAAAAACCTCCTTCACACAATTCTCTGTGCTCTTTTGCCCTTCTTGGCTGTCTGAAATGTAGATGACCCCTACGGTGACCTTGAAAATAGCAGAGCTTGGGTCCCCGAATGACTCCACCCCTAGTCCTTACATTCCAGCTTCACCCCTCACCCCCATGCCGACCTAGAACTGCCTTGCATAATTCTGTGAGTGAGAAATAAATTTGCATACAAATTTTGGAGTTAATTTCCTACTGTAGCTCATACAAAAAAAGAGGCAAGAAAGTGCTATGCTCACTACTCTGAAGACTGATGGTCCAGTTACAAAATGGCTTCAGTTTTAAGATAAGAGTAACATTAAGGACATCACATGTTCACCTTGATGGTCCCTGCCACCTTCACCTCCTCGGCTGTAAGTTCTACCACCGATGTCTCCCCGGCTGAAAAGTACTGAGAAGCAGGGATCATTCTTCCATCTTCAAACTGCAGATTTCTCACCATCAGCTACAAAATAGCAACAAAACAAGCAGAAGAACGGAAGATTAGGACAATTCAAAAGTGAGGTCGGTGTTACATATTATAGGAATACAAGGATCAGCGTATTCGGCAAATACAAAAATATGGGGTGAAAGCACTCACCATTATGTGTAAAAGGACTGAAATGGTATTTTACTAATGGCAGCAGAAAGGAGAAAGTGAAGTCTAGGGGTAGATACACCTCGAAATGGATAATAAGCTACTGAAAAATGTATATATTTAGACTGAGGCTCATTATAACTCCTCTTCCTCCTCCCACTACTACAACGATCAGTTCTCCACCTCCTCTTACTGCTTTCCTCTGAACACTTACTCTGCAGCAGGCATGGTGCTAGGTATGTATGTATGTGTCTTATTTAATCTCATAAGTCCTGGTGGAAGCAGGTGCCGTTATTATCCCCGTTTTACTGATACGGAAATGGAGGCTCAATGAGGTTAAGTAATTTGCCCAACACCACACAGCTAGTAAGTCACAGAGCTGGGGTTACAGCCCAGACCTAGCTGGACCCTGAAGCCTACAATTTTAATTATTGATCTACCCTGCATGCTACCAGAATATATGTGCAACCTGCGAATTCCCCTTGCTTTCTTCAAAGAGTCCCCCGAAGCCAAGAGCCCCTGCTCCCAAGCATGGGCAGTGTGAGTGCTGCATGGGAGGCAAGGCAATGAGCATCCAAAGAGTCCCACATCCATCGTATTGATCCTGCCAGCCTCCAGCAGTGGGAACGCAGACCGGTGAGACTACGCTCTGTTTTATAGACGGAGAAATGAAGACTCAGAGGGGAGAAGCATCCTCCCCAAGACCGGTAAGTGGCAGAGGAATGGTTTGCATCCGGTTTCCTGACTAAATTCCAAACTCTTTCTACTGTGTCACAAAGCAGACTGTGCAAGTCCCTGAGGCGCATCCCAGGGAGACTTGTTCTCATCCAGGCACCCAGAGCCAGCTCATCCCCAGAGAGAAACAAGGCACAGATATCTCGAGCCTCCCATATTCCACTGCAAAGCCAGATTACCTCATGAAAGATATTCCCTTAGCAGCTGGGGTCATAGAAGGAAACCAAAAACGTCACTTTGTAGGTGACCATATTGAACACTCACTGCTTTTCCATCATTACCAAAAAGAACAAGTCCATTTTTGGTAACAAGACCAGGCTTCTTGGCACCTTTAATTTCCAGTGGCACTCCAGGAGGCACAGAGTTCTTCAGTAATGATGAGCCGTAGAACGTGACCATCTAAGAAAGAGATCAAACCCAGATTGTGACGGGAGGGAGTTACTCCTGTAAACAGGGGTGTATACAAGCAGCACTCCCTGCAAGCAAGCTCAAGTTGGTGTTACCATTTATGATAAAATTGGAATACCCCAGTGCGGGAGACCGTATCAAGCACCTATAGAAATGACACAAAGCAAGAGATAATCTATGAAGGCACAACTGAAGACATTCAAGAATGTCTCACATCCAGATGACATTTAGCATTTATTCACACTGATATAAAGGTGAATGAGACACAAGGTTCTCGCAGACGTCTCAGCCTAAAGCGAGGGTTTTCAAAGGGGAGTGGAGGTGGTGGTGGTGGGGTGGTCAGTGAGGGCAGATGTGGGGAGCAACCAGACTGTTACAGTACAGTGTGATTACTGATGGGAAGTACAGCATGCGTTGTGGGTCAGTTAATGGAAATAGCACTGGATTCAGACTAACCGAGAGAATGTGATGCTAATTGGTTTGTGATTATAATTCTATGACTATTAGCTAGCACTTACTGAGCACTGTAATAGTTAACATTTATTGAATACTTATGCCAGAGGCTAAGTATTTCAATGAATTATCATGTACTGACTCATTTAATTTTCATGGTGATCTATAACCACTATTATTAGTCCCATTTACAGTAAGGAAACCAAAGCACCCAATGGGTAAGTAACCTGCCCCAGGTTACCCAGCAAAAGTGGATTTATGTGTAATACCTTTTACAAAGGTAACGTGCGCGTGCGCGCGCGCACACACACACACTTGGTCCTTAGAACATACCTGTCCATTTATTTCTGTCCAAGCTCCAGGGACTTTATCATGACCTCTGATCCAGTTATGTAAAACTTCGGCCGACTGATCCCAAGAAATCTAGGAAATCACAAAGCACAGGCTGAATCTCCTAATGCTGTAAGTGTCAAAGGTAATAGAAACATTTCTCTCCATCAGTGGTGGAAGCATGGTTGGGGCAGAATAGAACAGGATGGCTTGGAGATCTACCTTTTGGCCAGGAAATGGTACATTGGGAACTACTTAAAAGTAAAGGGCCAAGAACATTAAGGTGTGTTATTTCTTTTTTTAAGATTTTATTTATTTATTTGACACAAAGAGAGCGAGAGACAGAGAGCAAGCACAAGCAGGGGGAATGGCAGACAGGGGAGAAGCAGGCTTCCCGCTGAGCATGGAGCCTGATATGGGGCTCGATTCCAGAACCATGGGATCCTGACCTGAGCCGAAGGCAGATGCTTAACTGACTGAGCCACCCAGGAGCCCCATTAAGGTGTGTTATTGAGTTGATATAAATACCTCAGCATTTTCCTTTTTCTGGATACCTTCATATGTTGCTCCTTCTTCTGGCTGGGGAATCCGAGGCGCTTTTCCATCAGCTATGAGTTGGACAGCTTCCACCTAAAGTCAAAAACATGATTTGTGTTACGGCCCAATGATCAATAATGGCATCGTCTGTTTAACTGAAGTTTCTGCTAAACAGAATTGCTACATATAAATCTGTCCAGCAGTGTCTGGCTGGCTCAGGTGGAAGAGCATGTGACTCTTGATCTCAGGGTTCTGAGTTCGAGCCCTACATTGGGTATAGAGATTACTTAAATAAATAAAACTTTAATAAATAAGTAAGTAAATAAAAGCATCTGTCCAGAGAGTCAGACTATGACAATAACTACCTTTTCTTCAGTTCCAACTATGTCCCAGGCAATGTGGTAGCTACTTTATGTAAAATATCCTTTGTAGACATGACACCAATCCTGCCAGGTGGATATTATTATTCCAGCTTTACAGATGAGGAAACTGATTCTTAGAAAAGTGAAGCAACTGGCTCAAGATCATGGGGGTAGCTAGTGGGTGTCAGAAGCAAGATCTGCATCCAAGTCTACCTACTGCCAATATTGAGCTGGTACACTTAAACATGACTCCCTTGTTGAAACAAATTTCAACCTCCCCTTGGTGACATAGTGGGAATTTCAGTAATAGAATTGTAAGGTAAGTCCGTGTGAGTGATTTCCACTCATCATGATAATTCTAGAAAGTGATGTATTGTTATATTTAAGTAATTCGACTTGCTTTCTAGCTCAGGACACTTGGAATTACAAAATAGTTAAAATCTATGTATGAGTTTAATTGCCTTTGGGATGTGTCCTGAATTCTCTTCTGTGCCAGATTCATGTTTGCCTTGAGTTGAGAGCCTCAGTCCTTCACAGGGAGGCCTATGTGAGCTTGAGTTCTTGGATGTCTCAGAATGCATGGCTGCTGAACAACCTCTCCAAGAGCATGTGGAGGGGCAACCTAAGAATAGGGCCAGTTCATAGCTCATTCATTTAGCCAGTTCTGGCTGTGATATCATCAGGGGCATGACCTGGGCTTGAGCAAATGCCACTGAACACACATAATACTATTTTGATTGTAAGGATCATTTTTGAGCACCGACCATGTGCCGAGTGCTTTACACAAAGGTTACTTAATTTCTCAGCAGCCTTTATAAGTCAGGTAGTATCCACATTCTACAGATAAGGAAACCAAGGCTAAAGAGGCCAAGTGACTTGCCTATTGTCATAGAACAGATAAGCGGTAGAATGAGAACTTTGATGTCTTTCTGACACCAAAGCCCTACTCTCATAATCATTAAATGATGCAAACAAAGCTCTGCTCTCCTCCCTCCAAAATCAATAGCTGCTGCTTTATACCATCTTAGTGTCCATCTCTGTGTGGCTACTTCTACCATATCCAATTCAGAAAACATTAAATGACACTGAAATTATCTTTCAATATTTTTACGGGCTAATATATTTTTATTTTGTGGTGCACATGCTTTGAGCTTTTTACCCAGAGCACATATGAATAAATAAAGCAATGCCAAATTTTACCCTGTTACACAGATGGAGTTCAAATACGTTTGAAATCCAAATTACATAGCCAAATTTCTTAAGATTCTGTACACTTCTTTACAATTAGTTGTTATAAACAGGGTTGGCGATTCAAGTATTTGGCAAAATAAATGAAGCAGTTTCATTGCTACTTCATCTATTTGATCACTGTTCTCAGAAGAACAAGCTTCATAGACTAAGAAATTTTAATGGTAAGATTTCCACCCTAAATATACCATCCTATTGGCGAATACAAAGTCTAATTTTGTTTTCAACTTTATACTTTTTAAAAAACTAATATGGGAAAATTCTCAATAAAAGAAAAATATTTCTAAAATGCTAAAGCTTTATTAAATTCTTCTTGATGGTGTAAATATACTAACCATGGCCTTGATTCCTTCAGGAAAAAGGAACCGATTATAAAGTGCATCCACTGTATCACTGGGTTCGACGTCACATGACCTCTGAAGAAGGATGGGTCCCGTGTCTAACCCATCATCAGCCCAGAAAACAGAAAACCCAGCTTTCTTATCTCCCATAATGAGAGTCCTGTGAAAAGAAGAACTTCAACTTACAATGTTGGTTTAATGTACACAAAGCGATGAATTAGTGATATTAAAGTGCAACGTAGTGGGGCACCTGGGTGTCTCAGTCAGTTAAACTGCCAACTCTTGATTTTGGCTCAGGTCATGATCTCAGGGTCGTGAGATCAAGCCCCATGTTGGGCTCACTGAGTGTGGAGCCTGCTTGAGATTCTTTCTCACCCTCTCCCTCTGCCCTTGCCCCTACTCCACCTTCCACCACCCCCCTGCCTCGCATGTGTGAGTTCTCTCTCTCTCTTTTAAAATAAATAAATAAATAAAGTGCAAGTTAGTTACAGTGGGAAGTAGACAGTGAGGGAACTACCGTGAGAAATTAACAGTACAGCCAGGAGATGTCAGCATTCATAAAAAGCACTACTTAATAGTACCACGATTTTATACATTCCCATATCTATAGTCTTTCTTGTTAATACACATTAATGACTTCTAGTCCACTCAAAAGGGCACTAGAATCTATCATTACTACCTCTCATTAACTGCCAGTTGTCAGCTTTCTACTGAGGCATCAAGCAATTTTGCCCACCGGGGTTCAATTCCTACATTGTACCTGACCCTATATTAGACAGAATAAGATAATGGAAAATAAGACAGAGGATACTCAGTAGATGAGAACTTATTAGTTCTCATAACTATTTATTTAGGTTATGTAATTTGGGTATAAGTCAGAGCTAGAATTAGCTCTAGATTGTCTAGGTAAATTATAGTAAAAGATGGTTGATTAATTCAACTCTTTGCATTTTATGTTCTATAAAGCTTTGCCTAGGGGTGCCTGGGTGGCTCAGTCGGTTGAGCTTCCGACTCTTGCTTTTGGCTCTGGTCACGATCTCAGCATTGTGAGATCAAGCCCCCAGTAGGGCTCAGCACTCAGCCAGGAGTCTGCTTGAGATCTGAGATCCTCTCCCTCCCCTTCTGTCCCCCTTCCCCCCCCACCCCCAAGGGCATGCACAAGTGTGTGCGTTCTCTCTCTCTCAAATAAATAAATAAAATCTTGGGGGGAAAAAAAAGCTTAGCCTAAGAGAAAATGTTGGCGCATAAGAGCTTATAATACAGACAATAAGCTGAATATGTGGACATATACATATAAAAGCATATCAGAGGCTAGGCTAATATTAAGAGAGCATGAAGTAATACATCATATCCATGCTCAAGACCTAAATAATTTTTAAATCTTGGAGATACTAATCAAGCATAACTTAAGTCAATGAATCAATCAATCACTCTTTTCAGAAATATTGAGGAATTAATTGGCATTATGTTATCAAGAGGCTTGAAAATATTCATATACTTTGTTTTTGTTCGTTGGTCTGTTTGTTTTAAATTTTATTTATTTACTTGAGAGAGAGAGCATGAGAGAGAGAGAGCCCGAGCACGGGGGAGGGGTAGAAGGAGAGGGAGAAGCAGATTCCCCGCTGAGCAGGGAGCCCAATGCGGGACTCGATCCTAGGACCCTGGGATCATGACCTGAGCTGAAGGCAGATGCTTAACCGACTGAGCCACCCAGATGCCCAAAAACATTCATATACTTTGATCCAGTGATTCTGCATGTGGAAACAATGTGAAATGAGAAAAAAATATAAGTTTAAGTGCAAAGATAACCACACGGTACAATTACAAGAGCAAAAAAGAAATCAATTCATGCCAAATACAATGAAATGTCATTCACCACATTTAAACTTAGTGTAGTTCTCTGCCTATTTAATAACCTGACACTGAGCGATATCAGGGAGATGTACAGGTAAAGGAGAGAAGGTAGAAAAGTGCACCTGTGGTATTCAGGCCTTATAGTGTACCTGCAGCAATAAAAATGTTAGACCATAGTCCCTTCCCTCAAGAAGCTTAAAGTTAAACAGGAGAAGACAGAACAAAGAAGATCATTTCAGGGCGCCTGGGTGGCTCAGTTGGTTAAGTGACTGCCTTCGGCTCAGGTCATGATCCTGGAGTCCCGGGATCGAGTCCCGCATCGGGCTCCCTGCTCGGTGGGGAGTCTGCTTCTCACTCTGACCCTCCTCTGTCTCGTGCTCTCTGTCTCTCATTCTCTCTCTCTCAAATAAATAAATAAAATCTTAAAAAAAAAAAAAAAAGAAGGGGCGCCTGGGTGGCTCAGGTGGTTAAGCGACTGCCTTCGGCTCAGGTCATGATCCTGGAGTCCCAGGATCGAGTCCCATATCAGGCTCCTTGCTCAGCAGGGGGTCTGCTTCTCCCTCTGACCCTCCCCCCTTTCATGTGCTTGCTCTCTCTCATTCTCTCTCTCTCAAATAAATAAATTAAAAAAAAATAATAATAAAATAAAATAAAATAAAATAAAAAAAAAAGAAGAAGATAATTTCAGGTAACTCAGCATTCCGTGAAATGTACTTGAGATGCTCTAGGCAAAAAAAAAAAAGAAAAGAAAAGAAAGAAAATTTCTATGGTCAAATAAGTTTGGAAACACTGTGTACTCAGATTCCCTCTTGGAGATTGTGATGCTCTCACTAAAGCACATATAAAAGGTTCTCAGAAGTCCCGTGATCAAGAAATCCAGCATAACCCAAACTTGTCTGACTCTAGAACCTCTGTTTGCTCAATTACCAAGTTCTATCCAATGGAGCTGGTACTCCATAGGCTATTCTTGGAGATGCTGTCCAGCCTCTGGAGCACTGAAGTCTCAGGGGAGTTCATGCAAGAGTAGCAATCAGTCAGGGCCTCCCAGTTGCTTAAGCACAGCTATTCTCTTGATCCCGTAGGCAAAAAACAGAAAGATTATAGGACAATGGAAGTAGGCCCATCTTCTCTATAATTAAAAAAATTCTCACCAGTTGATGGCAGAGGCTCCTCTGTGACTTGGAAGGAGCGAGGGGTGATATATGATGGAGCCGTGCTTTGGGCTGTCAATTATATCCATGGGGATAAACTGTGTGCAGAAGGGAAGCACGTTTAGCTCAGCTCCCACAGATTCGTAGGCCTCCGCCACCTCCTTTATGGTCTTGCCCTTGACTCTCCATCTGGGGAACTTGAACACAGGGGTCCCGTCTTTCTCTGCAGCTAGAGCTGAGCATGGAAGAGAAAGTTATTTTTATTAAAAAACAAATGAACAAAAAACTGGCCATAAGTTAATATGGCTATGGATTCACACATTACAGTTTTACAGCTTCATGAAACATTGACAAAGAAAACATGGCAAAGAACAATTTAGATTGTGACCAGAATTTGACCTGTTACAATTTTATCATGATCCACCCATTTTCCTAACGTGATTTTTAGCTATGTATTTGAGGCATAATAGATTTAAACTCAAAAGTTTGTAGCTAGGTAACACTTAAATTTTTTAAAAAAGATTTTATTTATTTATTTGACGGAGAGAGACACAGCGAGAGAAGAACAGAAGCAGGGGGAGTGGGAGAGGGAGAAGCAGGCTTCCTGCAGAGCAGGGAGCCCGATGTGAGGCTCGATCCCAGGACCCTGGGATCATGACCTGAACTGAAAGCAGATGCTTAATGACTGAGCCACCCAGGTGCCCACATTTTAAAATTTTAACTGAAGTTTTTCTTTCATAGATTAAAAAAATTATACTTTTATTACTGATAGAGCCACTTAAAGAATATTTGTTTGTTTGTTAGATTCGGAGCCAAGTGCTGGTACATCAGCACTCAGATTAGACATAGTCAGCCTCTGGCACAGATGGAAAACCAAGAGCCCCTTCCCAAGCCTATTTCCTGGAGGGAAGTCTCTTTTAACAGAAGGCAAACTGTAGATCTGAACACATTCTCCCCGCCAAACAGAGCCCAAAAGATAAAGAGAGAAAGTTTTTTGAGCTGAGCTGGGCTTGTCTAATTCCTTCTCCCAAATTCACCAATCAGATAAGTTAGTGGAAGAGAGAGGCCAAGAATGGAGAATACATGCTCCTTGTGAGGGTTTTGCCATACTGGAGAAGATCCAAGGCTCTTTCCTGCAGAAAATGTCCTTTCCTAAAGGAAGGGCTCCATCTACTTCTCTGTGGAAAAGGAATGGCCCTCCAGAGTGCAGACAGCACTAGCTCATTTTTTTCCATAATAAGATATCACTTTTACTAACTACATACCTTACATATATTAAGCATATATACTTATTTTCTACCAACAACACAAAGCAACTACATTTTAGGTGATTTTTAAGAGCTTCAAGTAAGGCTTTTTATCTGTGTTTTTGGGCTCCCTTTCCTTTCTCTCCCTCTGGATCATCAACCTTCATTGACTTTGGATGGGATGATGCTTCCACTAGAAAGCCTAAATTCCAAATCCTAAGTGAGTCCTGAAGGAATCTGGCCATCAAGCCAATGCCTTGATCAATTCACTTGGGAGAATGGGAGAGACCAGTAAAATAATGTTGACAAAATGTGAATGTTCATAAAATGTTCAAAAAACTGAAAACAACTCATTTTCAGGTGATAGGAAAATGAATAAATGGTGGTTCAAAAGGTAAAATTGGGAGAAAATTGTGGAAGGTTAGACTAGGAAAGAAAAATGGGATGAGAAACTTAGAAGTCTTCATTTTTAAAAATATACACCACCGAAATAGGCTTGAGGCATCCACCGGTTATTCTTCCATATTGATATGTGGCTGCCCCAGGGCTATTTTTGGCTGCTCTAGTTGACTATTCTGACAGCAAGACTAGTTAGCCATTGTCATTTTGATCCCTTTGCATGAACTAGGTGCAGGGCTGCGCACATTACATACCTCACTTCATTTAATCTGTGCAAGATGGGTGCTGTTGAACTAAGCTTAGTGAGTTTTAGTAACTTGCCCATCATCATATGCAGCAAGTAAGTGGCAGAGGCAGAATGAATTCCACAACTCCAAAACATATACTGTTAACTATATCTGTACCACATCCCAGCCTACTCTACAAGTCAGATTGGTATTTTTTCTTATCTATGTTATGCCAGCAGCCCAAATGACCATGACCAATAGACAGGAGGTCCCAGCCCTGGGACCAGACACTAGGGAAAGTTTCCCAGGACATCCTTTGGAAGGAACTTTAAGATTAGTCACATGCTTGCAATTCTTCTCAAGTTCATGTACATGGCAGAGACTGCTAGTTGCCCCCCTTCGTTTCTTAGCAAGGATTCCTGTACTTTAGCTGAGCACATAGCCACTCTGAATAAAATCTACATTTCTCAGTCTATTCTGCAAATAGATTTGGCCTGTGACCAAGTTCTAGCCAGTGGGATACAAGTGGGACTAATATGTGCAACTTCTGGATGATATCCTGAATAAAGGCTTGCCCTCTGCTTCCCCTCTTTCCTTTCCTGCTTGCTAGAATGCAGATTTGATAGTTGGGACTAAAGGCAGCTATCTTGGACCATGAGATGGAAGCCCAGTGTTGATAAAGATGAAACAAAAAGGGCAGGAGCCTGCATCGTGATCGGTATAAAGCTGCTACGACAGCTCTCACAGCCAACTCAGACTTGAGAAATGGACTTCTATGTCACTTAAGCTAATATTATTTGGGGTCTCCCTGATTCAATAGCCAATCCGATATCCCAAATATGAGTCCTCCAAAATATCCCCCACACAAGGCTGGTGGGAATAGATAATAATAGCACAGATAATCCCAGTAATAGGAATCTGTCCCCTTCTGCCTTGGGAGCCACGTCTAAATTCATGAGGCAGTTTCCCTCAGAATTCCCCATGTTGGGATAACCTTTTTCTGAAACAAGGATAATTTCTAAATCAAGTGATTAAATTCATATGTGCATATGTGCTCTTGACCCAACTTTTTTTTTTAGCTTGACCTTGAAAAATAGTGTAAAAATATAGTAGTTTTTAAAGTAGTAACAGGAATTAGGATAAACCTCAGAGCTGCTGCTTTTGAGAAAAAAAGCATAAAATTTAAGGGTTATCACAGATTAGTATTTTCCAACCTATCTGTCACATTGTACCAGTGATTTGTGAAGATCTAATTCGAAAGCCAAGATGTCTGGTTGCTCATTCTTATTCCCTATCTGGGCAGTTTGTAGACTGTTTCTATCTCTGTGTCTTACACCTATTCGCAACATAACTATAGTTGACTCTTGAAAAATACAGGTTTGAACGGTGTGGGTCTACTTACAGGTGAAATTTTTTTGATAAATATAATACTGTAAATGTATTTTCGCTTCCTTATGATTTTTTTAAATAACATTTTCTTTTCTCTAACTTACTTTATTGTGAGAATACACTGTATAATATATATATAAAAGCTGTGGTAATCAACTGCTTATGTTATCAGTAAGACTTCCTTCTGGTCAACAGTAGGCTTTTAGTAGTTAAGTGTTGGGGGAGTCAAAAGTTATACGTGGATCTTTGACTGTGCAGGGGGTCAGCCCCTCTAACCCCTGCATTGTTCAAGGGTCAACTGTATAGCTTGCAAATCAGACTCCCACCGAGGGTTTGCTTTGAGGATGGCTATCTTCTTTAACCTTACCTTAACAGCCAAGCAGTCACAGCTACAATCGTTCTGACATAAATGCATTCTTTATGACCCCACATCGATTCCTGTTCTTGGATGTGGCCCTCCCTTCGTTTCCACTGGCACCTCTGAATCAGACATTATTCTAGATGTTCCATAACACTTTTGGAAAGTCACAGGCATAGTTCAGAAAAAAACATATGCATGGAAATTCCTCTGATGGACCTGGTGATTACCTTGGAGGTAAGTGGAGAAACTCTTAATATGATGGGGCCCTGCACCTTTGTCTTGGGCCCATGGAGAAAGGAGAATTGAGTCTCCATCATTAAATCAGACTTAGCTTGTGAAGGCTTTCAATAGGTAGGGTAGATGTGGCAGCTGGGTCTTTGGAGCCTGTGGCAAAGAAGTAGAAGTGTAGACATGCTAATGAGGGGTGGGGGTCTGAGCTGGGGTCTGTGCTGGCTGGGTCAGTGAGGAGTCCTTGATTCAGCAGGTTCCAAGATACACTCACCCAGCGGGTCAGCTTTTCCATCCTTGTCTGGCACTGTGAACACGCCTACAACTCGGTGGCCCTCTTTGCAGAGCTGGCTGTAGACTTCCTGTCCAAAGAGGCTCTGGCCAATAAGGGCCAACTTCAGCTTGTTTTTTAAATAAACCTGTGAAACAATTTAACAATGACAGATGTTGGCATGGATAGAAGACATATGGATGATAAACCCTCTTTTTTCAATCATACGAGATGACTTGAGGACAAGAAAAATCTCAAAGGTCTACAAAATAAAATTTTTACTGACATACGCTGTACCCAGGCTACATTATACATAGATAATAGTGAAAATAATTTCATACGGAAGAATTCCTCTTTTCCCCTTTGCTCTAATTCCCCTGATTATTCACCATAATCACTGGGATTGCATATATTTTACAAGCCATTCCTACTCCTTGGTGAAATGAAGCCAGATGTTAATAAGTAAGTGTAAGTTTCATAGTTAAAAGGAATTTAACTCAGAGCAAGATCTGCCTCAACATGACGATGCTTTTAAGGCCTTGCAATATAGAGAGAAGAGCTGAACTCATCTCTTAACTTCCAAAGGAGACCAAGAGCTAACACATGGTCTATAATACAGGCGTCACAAGCAGACCCTAGAGCTAAACTATCTGAGGTCAAAATCTAGCACCACTCTTGTTCAGTCGTGTGGCCTTAAGCAAGTGACTAACTTCTGTTGCCTTTTTTCCCTCACCCATAAAATGGGAATACTAACACCAGCCTCACACAATTTTGATCGAAGTAGAAGATTTATTAGGCAATAAGTTTAGTGCAGTGTCTGACACAAAGTACTGTTTAAGTAAAAGCTTCGATAATGTCTTAGAGGTTTTGCCACATCCTAGACAGTGTCGTGTTTCTTTGTATAGTCCAGAATTCCAAAGTCCTTGGTAAGTGGCCCAAATCCATTTGGCCTCAACACCTGGATTGCTCTAATGGAATGTTCAATGTTCTTTATAGTCCAAAGTTCTTGTAAGTTTGTGCAAATTCATTTGGCTTCAAACTTGACATGATGGACATACTGTTATTTATAGTCTTTATTTACAGTATTTATAAGGACTATATGAATATTTATATGTATTGCTGCAGAAAGATCAATGTGTTAGGTTACAGGTACTGTCCCATACCCTGCTGTGAATTGTATGGAATGTACTATCTATGTACCATGTTAATTTTCTAAAATGTGGATAATTCTGAAGCCCAAAACATATTTTGTCCCACAGGTTTCAGATAAAGAATTAAGGCCTACACATCATTTCATTTCATTTAATCACTGCAACTATCATATTTTATTATTTCCTGTTTTACACTATTTTATGAATGAAGAAAACCAGGGCTTAGAAATATCCCCAAAGTCATAGTGGCAAAAAGGAGGAGAGGTGGGATTTGAATCCAGGTCTGTCTGGCTCTAAAGCCTACAAATGTACTTAAAAATAAAATAATCAAAATGAGCTACCACCACCACCCATCTCTTTTTTTTTCCTTTTAGAAGATTAACATGGATGTACAAAAGTACATTGATTATCAAAAAAATACAGATACCATACAGACAATAGTAGCACTAAGGGTTATAGTCTTAAAGAACTCTCTTTAAGTAATTATACCTCCCGTAAATTCTCCCCAAAAGGAACCTTTTCACAAATCTAGGGTGATAAGTTGATATGACGATTGTTAAGACCGTAATGAAAAGCCACAGGTGGAACAGTCTAGATGTAGGATCACAGGTGTAGAGACGGTCATCAGGGGGTCATGACTTCATATGCACATTCCTCCCTGGTAGAACACAGCTCCACAGGATTTGGATTTAGAATTTTTTTTTCCTTCACTCTAAATGGGATTCTTTAATGTTCTAGAAAGTCATTCTAAATTAGTCAAGCCTCACTGTGAAAACTGGATTATGAGGAAACAATTTTCCTTTATTTCTCACTTTATTAAGGGTGTAAACAGCATCCCCTTTTAGGCATGAATTTAAAAGCATATGGGTTCACATGTTCCCTGTAATTGAACTGACAATTAAACAATTAAGGTTTTAGTTAAAAAATTCTTTTCCAAGGCCAAGTCAAAGTTTTTATCTCCAAAGAGCCTAGAGCTTCAACATGTAACAAATATGTCCAGGCAAACAGATTAACTCTGTAACAATAGCACAGTTTGCCTATAGATAATACATGATTATTTCATTTATTCTTATCAAAAACATCAAAATGTTCCGTAAATATTCTATCTCCAAATCTTATCATTAATGTTGTTTCTTGAAATAGAACCGACATGTTGGCTATCTTAAAAATTTGACTTTACCTCACACTACTATGAACAGTAGGTATTCTAAGAACTCTAAAATACTACTCTTAGAACACAGAAGAGCCAAGAGGCTGGGCTGACTCAAATGTAATGTTACTTGGAGTTCAATTCCAGATTGAAAGACAGCGTTTAAAGAGATGTCAGTATCTTTGGAAATACTACATTCCTTGAAACAGTTTCTGAGCTTAATGCTAAAGCTAAGCTACAAAGGTGAGTTTCCAACACTGTGTTTACAATGAGTTATCGTAATTCCAAAAAACCAGACTGGGATATTCTACCTCAGTCTTATTTCTCCAGCTATGATCTGAGCACTGACTGCTGTGTTGGTGGAATCAGCAGGGAGGTTGTGCTAAAAGTGTGGGTCCCTGGGCCCCACCCCAGATTTACTAAGTTAGACTCGGGGGCCTAGGAAGCTGCATTTTAACAAGCTTCCCATTGACTTAGAGGCACTCTCAAGTCAGAGAATCTCTGCTATATGGAGAGCGTGTGCCTGCCTGCTACACAAAAAGATTCTGCCCTGGGGAGTCTGGGTGAGGATGCAGGGCTGGAAGTAATAGCAAACATTTTAACGAGACTCTAGTATGTGCCAGGCATTTCATATATATTACCTCATTTTGATTGCCCAGTGACTCCTGGAGACAGGCATTCCTAAGCCACTTTATAAATGGAGAAATTAAAACTCAGACAAGATAAGATACAGCCTGGAGTCAAATAGCTACTAAGTGGCAGTCCTCAGATTCTAACTGGTTATTAGTGTCCATTGTTTTCCCATAACACAGGCCCTATGATTTTGAGCTGGGTCTCATCATTTAAAATCTGAATAATAATAGTATCTATTTCATAAGGTTGTTATAAGGATTTATCAGGATAAAGCATGTAATGCCTTCGTGCAGCATGTAGCAATAGTGAATGCTCAACAAATGTTAACTATTATTATTATTAATAACAATACCATAGGTAATACCTGGGTAAATAAAAAATGCTGATCTTTCCTACTGGAAATGTGCCATGAGCCCAGTACTGCATTGAGCCCAATTCATTAATTTTTAAAAATGTATCAACTATTTATCATATGTCTTTAGGACTCAGAGTAACCAGTGTTACTCATGAGAACGCACAAGGCTCAGGGAGGTCAAGTAACCTGCTAACGAGGGACAGAGGCAGGAGTCAAACCAGATCTGTCTCACTTCGGTAGATACACTTCTATCCCTTTCCTATGTTGAAGGTCCGTTCCTCCCCCACCGTTTTTTAAAGAAAAATATGGCAACAGTTTGACAGGCAAATTGTGGGAAATAGTTCCATCTTTAGACTTTCTAAAGAAATACCTGGTGGTCCTGACAGAAGAGATGGCACCATTCATTTGCAGGGTGGGTCTGATGACCAGAGAACATTCTTTGAGGCACTATATATTGCCTGTTACATTGGTGAGAAAGAAGAGGGTGGGGCATAAAATGACCCACAGCATTTCTTTATTTTATTTTATTTTATTATGTTATGTTAATCACCACATTATATCATTAGTTTTTGATGTAGTGTTCCATGATTGTTTGCGTATAACACCCAGTGATCCATGCAGTACGTGCCCTCTTTAATACCCATCACCAGGCTAACCCATTCCCCTGGCCCCCTCCCCTCTAGAACCCTCAGTTTGTTTCTCAGAGACCATAGTCTCTCATGGTTCATCTCCCCCTCCGATTTCCCCCCCTTCATTTTTCCCTTCCTACTATCTTCTTCTTTTTTTTTTTTTTTTAATATATAATGTATTATTTGTTTCAGAGGTACAGGTCTATGATTCAATAGTCTATGATTCATAGCGCTCACATAGCACATACCATCCCCAATGGCTATCACCCAGCCACCCCATCCCTCCCACCCCCCACAACTCCAGCCACCTTCAGTTTGTTTCCTGAGATTAAGAATTCCTCATATCAGTGAGATCATATGATACTTGTCTTTCTCTGACTGACTTATTTTGCTTAGCATAATACCCTCTAGTTCCATCCACATCATTGCAAATGGCAAGACTTCGTTTTTTGTTTTTTTTTTTAATGGCTGCATAATATTCCATTGTGTGTGGGGCGCCTGGGTGGCTCAGTTGTTGAGTGTCTGCCTTCGGCTCAGGTCATGATGCCAGGGTCCTGGGATCGAGCCCCACATCGGGCTCCCTGCTCGGCGGGAGGCCTGCTTCTCCTTCTCCCACTCCCCCTGCTTGTGTTCCCTCTTTCGCTGTGTCTCTGTCAAATAAATAAATAAAATCTTAAAAAAAAAATTCCATTGTGTGTGTGTGTGTATATATATACATATATATATATATATGTATATATATACCACATCTTCTTTATCCATTCATCTGTTGATGGACATCTTGGCTCTTCCCATAGTTTGGCTATTGTGGACATTGCTGCTATAAACATTGGAGAGCACGTACCCTTTCAGATCACTACATTTGTATCTTTGGGGTAAATATCCAGTAGTGCAATTGCTGGGTCGTACAGTAGCTCTATTTTCAACTTTTTGAGGAACCTCCATACTGTTTTCCAGAGTGGTTGCACCAGCTTGCATTCCCACCAACAATGTAGGAGGGTTCCCCTTTCTCTGCATCCCCGCCAACATCTGTCGTTTCCTGACTTGTTAATTTTAGCCATTTTGACTGGTGTGAGGTGGTATCTCATCGAGGTTTTGATTTGGATTTCCCTGATGCCGAGCAATGTTGAGCACTTTTTCATGTGTCTGTTGGCCATTTGGATGTATTCTTGGAAAAAAATGTCTGTTCAAGTCTTCTGCCCATTTCTTGATTGGATTCTTTGTTCTTTG